GGATTCATTTAGCAAATGCAACCAATGTACTTGGTCTGGGTACTTCAAGTAACTTAAGACCCCCTCAATCATTCCACATACATACTGCATACATGTACATGTATATGCCCACCTAACCCTATGTTGACACCATGGGTAAGCTTGAGGGACGTACATGTAATCAAATGCTCAGCATGGAAACTTTAATTTGTAACTCAAATTTGCCAAAAGGTAACACCTGCTCTGTGGCATTATGATGTGTTCAGGCCTGTATGACTACAGTGAACCACTGTTGCAATCAAAATGTATACACAAGTGTGTACATTTATGAAATTTGCTGTCTAAAATGTCCAAAGTACATGTACACTGTACCATTTATTAGCTTACTACAGTAATATTCTGAGTAGCTAAGTTAGGGAGGCCTTTTTGCAAACAATACATACATGTACATGTACCAAGGATGTTAGGAATAAATAATATAGAATTTTGTTCAGCCACCTGAAATAACATATGTGTTCATGCTCTGTGAACTGGGCATAGTTTAAAACAGTGAAAAAAAAAATGTTACATTCGTGCAAATGAATTCCAGTATTCTGTGAAAACACTTAAGGCTATACTGGCAACAAGAAACCTATCTATTCCTACTTGTTACTTCAGGCACACTCTGCATTCATGGTGGAATTTTTTCAGTGTTTTTCATCTTTTTTTTTCTTTCTGGTCTCACCCAAGTTTCCCTCTTGCCAGCTGGATCCACAAATATGAGATGTGTGGCTGTCAGGTAGAGGTTACCCAATGCCGGTTTCCGAGTGTTAAATCGATCCAGCAATCGAACATCTTCAATCTGCAAAAACAAGCAACATTTACTTAGTGTTTGCATAGGATTTTTTTTTTCAGGAAGTTGGCATCAGATTGCTTCCCCTTCAGAACACCCCCCTCCCCCTGGAAACACAAATGAGTCCAATCCTGCCACATTGAAGAATTCAGTAACTGGTGGAAAAGTTGTGGTACATAAAAAAAAGGCTGACATCCGAGCGTAAGAGAGTTAATTTGATTTGTGTGCTGTCAGTCTGTCTAAGACATTTTGGGGATCACACATGCATGTAGCTCAGCCTCAGGTTGGCTGAAAGCAGGCCAAAAGGGTATTAACTCAAATTTGACAGTGTTTGAAACTTTTGTGTCACTTTTATTTCCTTAATGTATTCTTTCAGCATTCACTATTCCAATCAAATGTTGATTTTTGGATGGCATCTGTATACATTTCAGTGCTTCATGAGCACTTTCACTGAAACTGATAAAACTAGACTAAGCCTTACAAATGCCTTTTGATTATTTCAAAACAAGTTTCCTCGGTTTCGATCTCATGTTATCTCTGTAAGTTACGTGGAACAACTACTGCATACTGTACATGTAAGTGCACAATATAATGTACAAATGTACACTGAAGATTTAAACTGCTCTTATTTCCGACCCTGCGAAAGAGAAACTTTTACAGCTATGCTATTTTGTACATGTGAATGTATAAGAAATAAAATCACATTCTTAGATGATATCCTCTTACGCTGTAAATGATGCAACAGACTATAACAAAGACATTCACTTGATCAAATCAAATCTACACTCAGGCATGACCTAATTTGGATTAATATCAATGTCTGCTTTCATAGCAACCATTGATTCACACCGGTGTTCTAGCTGGGACCATTTTAGTGCCGGGTAAATTTTTGGATTACAAAGCACAGTGAGCGCAGCTCTTAATGCTTTCTGATGCTTGAAATACGATCGAATTGGTACATTTAAATTTTCAGTAATATTTCGGTTCATTTTTTGGAAAATCCGTGCTGGGTGGCACAGCCAATTTCAACCCTGAGTGCCGAATGAAAATTTGCAGTACCCGGTGGTGCAGCCCGGCACCGCCCACCGCAGCTAGAACCCTGATTACACAATGACAAGCAGCAGAAGTGCTGACAGTATTGCCGATTTGCCAATTATGCTAAAACGGCCAAAGACAAGCTCTACAATTGCAAGCCAATTAAATACAGAACATGAAACCCAATTACAATGTCCAAAACATCAATTTCTACATGTAGTAAATAATGTAGAATATACTCAGGTACACAAAATACAATGTAAACAATTGGGGGGTGGTTGTCAACCAATGGCATGCTACTGCATTAGAAAGACAAACAGGCTGATAAATGTCTACATTACCACACTTCAGAATAAAATATTTTAAATCTTAATCAAAAGAGGTTAAAAGCAAGGTTTCCTGGACAACATAATCTGACACTCACAGCATTCCCAGTTATCGACAAGTTCAAACATACATGTACATTGTACATTGTACATCTACAGAGGACGCCTTGACATTATGTCCATAGTATGGAGGTACGTGTACATGTAATGTCTGTTCATTGATATTTAATATCAGTTTAATAATAATCAGTTCTTATATATTACAGAATGTCTCTATGCACTTATGATCATTATCCATGCACATTGGGCTCACAACATCTGAACATTCCTGAAACTATCTCAGCTCCCTGGGGAGTATACAAGCCAGATGCTGCCAGCACAAATGGCTGACCATAATCAAGTATTTATCAAAGCACGTGTGACCCCAAGATGGGGATCGCACGTGCGATCTCAACGGTAGTATATTTATTTCCCCAACCTAAAATACAATGTACATGTAGTTGCATTATTGTTGGAAATCAAAACTGAAATTATTTTAGCAGGACATTTCTCTCTTTTTTTATGATCCATGACTCAAGAGGCCTATTTTAATTGAAATACGTTCAAACTTGTAAAAAGGTCTAAATTCCATCACATGAAGACATAGGCCTACTGGTCAAAGTACCACTCCACAATGACAATGTAAACATACATGTACATGTATATGTAGGCCTATAAGAAGATTTCTCACAGTCATGACAATAAAATGTCTGACCCCCCAAATCACTCATTGCATGTGTTCAGTTGCCAAAAGTGAAACACTTTACGCAAACTATGCAAAGTACTAGTAAAAGAAATTGGATTTATTAACATGTTGACATGCATGATCAAATGCAAAGGAATAATGTGTGTACATGCAGGGCCTATCATATTGTCTTTGCATTGCATAATCAGTGAGGGTGTAATTCAACCGGTATCCTACAACAGACACCACTAATTTTCAGGCATTGTATACTTGGGACCCCCCCTCCCCTGTTTGTTTGTCATTTTATTTTTAATCTTGCAAAACTGATAAGTCACCCTCAAAAACAAAGGCAAGACTCTCTTTTATCCTACGGTCATTGAGCATGATGTCACAGTCATCTACCGAGGTGAATTCGAAAGTTAAAATGAAGCTTTCCCTTCTAGGAACAGGGTCCCCAAATTTACAATCCCCAATTTTTCCCTGCAGTGACTTACACAAATAGCAATTTCAAAGCAAGGAAATGTCCTAAAAGTCAAACTTAGCAGTGACAAAATGTACAAATATTCACTAACATGACTATGAAAACACTTTTTCAGACCAGTCTGCTAAGGTTAGGTTTAGGGTGTCAAGCATGCAGTGATAACAATTAGGCCTACATGTATTATGACATGGAATTCTTTCCATTATAATCAGTCATGTCAGCGATAATATTTGCAATCACAGCAATGTCTTTATCATGTTTCTAATGTCAGACTGGAACATTTTTGAACAGTTAAACATGTCATAAAGAGCTGTCGGCCATGCACTTGCACGATATGCCAGTTACATTCCTTCTTCCATGCTTTGCAAGATACAAATGATGGGCTGCAACTTACAAAGCGGTGAGCACGGGTTAAGCCTGGCATGTTATGACGCGTTATGCGATATGCATGCATCATCTGATCATGTTCGAATTCTTCCCTTTATTTCAAAGACAATAGCAAATTTACCGTTTGCAGAAAAACTTTGCCCTAATTACTAGTAAAAATACAAACCTTCGGTGTTGTGATGTGCTCCATTTGGGGTAAAAAAATGAAAATTTTCATTCACAGAGTTCAATCCCTTCTTTGCCACGATATCGCTCGGCCTCCATGACACACTTCCGGTTAATTTAGTCAGTACATTTTAATAAATAATTCTGTTTAAGTAAGTCAACAAAAGGTGTTAATTTATTTTTATCTCAAATGTTAGAATTTATTTTATTTCTTAATTTAATAAAATATTTATTTTACATCTTTAAATTTATTTTATTTCAAAACATTCTTTTAACAAATTCAGAGAAAGAAACATAATATTTTCATAGCCTAGGTCAGATCTTTGACCTCAAGAAAAATGGCGGCCTCCGGTGGATTTTCCTTCGGTGGTACTTCTTCACTTTCAACTACAAAACCAACAGGAATTACATTTGGCACGCCATCGTAAGTTTGGCATATCAAATTAAACATTATAGTGATATATTTGGAACCTTTTGATGAACCGTTAGATTTCATCTTAAAAAGACCCGTGAGTTATTTGTCATGAGGTTGAAATGAACATGTTGAATAAACATCCACTGATCCAGCAATACAATTACAGTACGTCTTCCACGAGGGGGCGCCCGCGCCCCAGTAATGAATTGGTCAACAGTAAAGTAGGCCTGGGTGGCAGTTTAATTTAGTGGCTTGTGGTCCTTTTGTTGTGAAAAGCAAGGTAATTTTCAGCCATCGATGCCATCAAGAGTTTTTTCATTATAACCAGTGTTAACTTTGGGAAGTTTGGCTGAACATCAAATGTCAAATTTGTCAATTGTGCAAGCCCACTGGTCTCGCTGGACAGATCATTTTAATACGCCATTGTATCTGTATACAATTCTGTTAATTTGTGCTTATTAATCGTTTGACATTGTACATTTAATTTATTAAATAGAGCGGCAACAACAACTACATCAGGCCTGGGTTTAGGCATGCCGGCTGCCGCAGCATCGTCTAGTTTCTCACTGGGTGGAACCAAGACAGGTGGATTCAGCTTTGGGGGAACAGTAATAAGCACCACAACCACTGGTATGATAGACAAGCTTAAACCGTTGAATCTCTGGTCAGTACGTGGGTATAAGTTTGTTTCAAATGTGGATCAACGGAGTGATGTAGTCCCTGTCCAAGGCCACAGTCCCTGGCCAAGGCCATTGCTGTGTCTGAGGCCACAGCAGTGTAGACTCATATTCCATGATATCCAGAATGGTTCTTCGAAAGTTTTGTGTATGACTTGACGTGAGCTGTGCCCAGAAAATGACTTTGCGGTGTCTTTGGGGTCTTGGACTGATGACTGGACAATCAAGTGTGGGCTTGAGTTTATTGAAAAAAATAGGTTGGAGCCTGTGTTAAAGTTGTGCTTTAAAATTCTCTTGTTTCTGACCTTGAAATATTTAGCTATTTTTGTGCCGCTGCAGTAGACTTACTTAATCAAAAAACCTAACGCCACCCTGTGCACATTTGTTTTTAGCAACTGCTGGAATTTTTTCCAGCTTTTTAAATAAAATTTAATATTGAGTGGTTAGTGCAGCTAGCTTTCTACTACACTCATCGGTGATAACGTCAAAATTGAAAAGATCAGCATTCATACATACCATATTTACCATCAACCAACAGTGGTACATTTTGCATTGGAAGATCTCTGACTGCTGCTTACAGCACAGTGCTTGCAAAAAGATTTTTTGCTAGAGTTTTCTCATGGTTGGGAAAAGTAGAACACCAGAAACCTGGTGGTAATCATGAGTCTCTTGTATTTATTACCCCAATTTGTGACTCTAGCAGGCACAACAACCACTGCCTCGGGGGGTCTGTCGTTGAATCTTGGCCTGAAGACAACCACCTCAGCCTCAGGCTTTAGCTTTGGAGCCAGCACAACGACCAAGCCGGGCAGTCTGTTTGGGTCTACTCCAACAGCGGGAACCGGAGGCTTTTCACTAGGGGGGACGTCGACATCAGGTAACCTAGAAGTGGAACATTTCCATCTCTGGCTCAGGGCTCCCTAAGGGATACGTGTAGCTCAATTGTAGTCCAGTGTGTGTCTGAAAATTGTAAATGGGTCCATCACAGGTCCTTTCATAAGATCCCTTCCCAAGACTAGTCATAAGAAACAGGGTGGACATTGACAAAGGAAGGCTTATGTCGCCATTCATTTGAATAGCTAGTCATGGACTTGTAAAGGACTCAAATCAAGTACTTTTTAAACCCACATATACAGCTTGTCAGACCGGGGAGGAAGAGGAAGAAGGTAGGGTTGAACCGGGGTGCGGGGCAAGGAGGGTAACTTTAAGTACTCAGTAGACTAAAGTGGCATCAGAACTAAATAGGGGACATCTGAATTGAATTGTGCCCCTTTTCGGGTAGTGTACTTCATTTAATTCTAACCCCTGAGGATGTATTTAAAATCGTATTGAAATTGGAGGATTTGGGACTGTTAGGGGTTAATGAAGCCCCTTTTGTGTGTATTCATACATTGATGGAACCATGGACTATTTCCTTACTGTAGTGAAGTCCTCCTTGTGCCCTACATGCACATGCATGTGAAGCTTTTGATATATCCTGAAATGACATGATGAATACAGGAGAGGCTCAGAATATTGTGTTCATGTAACAGAGGTGTAACAGGGATGTTGTTTGAGTGCAGTACCCATGTGAAAGATCATTTTTCCAGTTCTTGTTTCATGCCAGTTGCTTCATCCCTGGAAGTAACTTTTCTGCAGTTGAAACTGTCACATTTTACTGTCCAACACCCACACGCACATAAAAATTTTTCAAATATAAGTGGAACTGGTCTACTTCTAGTAGCATAACATTCTGTAATTACCTTGAAAAGGAAATTCAGTAATTTCAGGAATTAATAACTGCTGCAATTTTGTCTGATTGGTTGTGTGACAAAATCCAGGGGGGCTTAGCCTAGGTCTCCAAAGCACTACCACAACCTCCTCTTCGGGGTTGTCTTTGGGCGGCTTATCGGGAATCACCTCCACCGGTTTTGGCCTAGGGGGTGGCACCACCGTCACCACCACCCCAGCGTCGGGCATCAGCAAAGGGCTGGGAGGGGTGGACCCGTCTTCGTTGCTGGCCACTTCCAGTACAACAGGAACCACCGGTACTGCATCATTGGGCACCAGGTAATATGCCTTAGCTAGAAAGTCCTGTTTAATTTATCTGCTTTGAAATGTTGTTACAGTGCTACTTAAAAAGTCTGTGTGTGAGCAAGCACATGTCGCTCTTTATTTTGAAGAGTAGAGTGCTGTGTATTCATTAACTGACTGATCCATCCGATGTTTAAGTTTAAACTATATTTGGTGAGGATACAGTACATGTAAAAACCAGTAAATGTTGAAATAGTACATGTACCGAAGTCTTAGCAACCAAATTTGGACTCTTATGTCAGTATTGTTCACTAAAGTGCACACTGCATATTGAGTTTAAGTGAACATTTTACTGACGTATGTGCAGAAGTCATTTTTATGCCTGCTGAATAACACACAGCATTTTTCAGTGTAAATTCAGATGTCATTTTTTTTCCCTATAAAAAGGTAACTTTAAAATTTATCTTTCTTTTCACAGTGATAACAAGACAATAAAAGAAACTGCCCTACCGCCAGAAATTAATGAAACAGTCACATCATTCAAGTAAGTTATAGCTCATCTTCGTTGTGTAATTTCATTTTATAATTTGCTTGATTGGGTTTTGGTGCAACCATTCATTCAGTATTAAGCACAAGAAGGAATTTTTGTTGTTGGAAACCACTGCTCATTATCAAGTAGTATCAGGAAGACCAGTATAATTGTATATTGTTATACCTCTGTCTTGTATGCTGTAATTTCATTGGCCCATTACAATCATGTGACTGGTCAATACGAACACATATTACCCTCATCCTTGTGCATATCACATTGTGATATCAGGGACTGTTAATGAGACCACTTGCATTCATGGGTCAGGTGCTATATTCTCCTGTACAATTAATAAAGATAAACTGTAGCAGGTGCAGGAAACTGGCATACGTATGATACGATCAGCTGTCGCCAGAGTGTGTTCATTCGTCAATGGCTGATTTTTATCTAGGTGATCTATCATTAATCCCTTGGATGTTAAAACATCATATCTCATATCACAATTTTTTATTAGCATTTCATCAATGTTCTTCTTCTCAGGGAGTATGTTGAGAAACAAAAGGCCATCCGTGAGGAGATTGCTCGCTTCTCGGTCAAGCCCTACCACCGGGTGCGGGAGGATATCGCTGCCCTGAAGCAGCTGCTGGCCGTGGTGTCCAACGGCCTGCAGCGCAATGCTGGGGCCGTCCACAAGCTCAAGCAGGAGTCAGCCCAGGAGCTGAAAAATGCAGAGACAGCCCACCGCACCCAGGAGATCCCCCCTGCCCTTCAGCTGGAGAACTACGCTCCCACCGAGTAAGTGTACTCACCTACCCGTACCCATAGGCTGATACCTGATTGAGGGCCTTCTTTCATTGAACTGCTAAGTACTCAAATGTGCTAAGCCCCAGAAATATCTGTTTAGTGAAAGCAGATTGCCAACTAGAATAGCAAAGCAAAAACAAGTCTGTTCCTAGCCAGATTACCAGGCAAGTGTTAATCTCTGGTTTCCTTGGCAGGAAATGACTGTGAAAATTTCCATCTCCGAATCCATCACAGGTTGCACCCTTTGTATGTAGATGAAATGTGACACTAAGAAACGACACACTTCAGCACTGATACCCTGGGGCAAATTTTCATGCTGTAACAAGCAGAGAGTATAGTCATATACAAAGTTCATGACACTTATTTTCTGCAATTGTCAGGTATTTCCAGAGACTGACAGCGCAGTTTGAGGAGCAGATGCATTTATGCAGGCAACAGATTGAACAGATGGAGAGCTTCATGGCTGCCTTCGCACAGCCCAATGTCTACACGCCTCAAGGTATGATGCATACCGCATGGCGCATTGTTCTTGTTGGCCCATTTCTTTTCATTGTGTAATGTACTGAGGCACATCAAAATTCCTCAACACTCTAAAGTTTAACGCAAGCTGACACGTTCACGATAGCGCTACAAACCTAGAGAGGACATTTGTCTTCATGTAGTTAAGAAAATTGAAAGAAGGTACTCATTTTCCTCTTTCTGTGAACAACATTCTTCCAAGCTAGAGTGTTTTTTTGCTTTCCTTGACTGTTGCCCTTCATTTTGCAATGTAGCCCTAACTCTGTGACGCTAGCCCTTATTTTTGGAGCAGGAGAATGCTGTGTGGGCCTATGCTGATCCACACATCTTCACTACCTGCACCTGTCTTGCACCTACCTGTCCTGTGTGGACATCTTGTCCACACAGGGAATTCTAAAAGCCCTAAAAATCAGACTGTTATCAAAACGGCAGCCTGCAAAATGATTTTAGCTGAAATCAAAGACGACGGTAAAGTGACCCAATGCATTTCTTTCTATCACTTTGGTTCTGCAGAATTGGCCACGATACTGGTGAAGCTGAATGAAACTTTCATTGCTCTGGCTGCACAGCTACAGTTGGTCCATGAAGCTGTCAGAGTGAGTCAGAACAAAAATATCCACTGTTAGTGTCTTGCAAACCATCTAGGTTGAAGTAAGTAAAGTGTGTTATCAAAAGTGTCAAGCGAGGAACATGAGCATAGATTATGCAAAGAACATTGCACCATTTCTTTTTTTATAGCTACTGTACTTGCCCTTTTATCAGTTCATGGGCCCTTCTTATCGTACTAGCTCTATTGCCCACCACCTCACTATTTCACGTACATCTGGTAATTGAGTGAATGGATTGGGCCTACAAGTACATCAAGAAGTTTCCAACGCTCTAGCAGTTCTTTGAAGCTATATCAGTCTATACTGTGCACTCAAATAAAGGCAAGAGTTCGTGCTGGTGTACCTTTCAACTGTCTCTTCCCACAACTGTAATTCTATGTAACTTCAACTTGTCAAAACTCCACAGGCCTGCGTACGGTATGATTAACACTGTGCTTAACGTTTACAAAAGGTCCTTGTACAAAGAGTTACAAAGCTCTTAGTCTTACAGAGGCTTCCAAATTCTTTCCTTCAATTCCTTTCAAAAGTTTAACCTAGGAGAAAGATGCAGAGATTGAAAAAACTTTTTTTCCTCCACGGTCCATTCTGCTCAACTTGTGAAAAAAAACGAATGATGCCATGCGTTGGCATCCCATCATAACAGCCTGAATGCCTGCGAACAACAGAGGGTGCTATCGTGCTTTCACGGGACTGATTTGGGCACCAACAGCTACGTATACTGATACTCTCAGCAAAATTACCTCCTTCTTCAAATTCAAGTTGGCCTTTGAATTGTTTCAGCTGGGACTATCTTGGTTGTGACTTGACTTGAAAGATTACTTCTCAACCCCAGCTAGGGCCAATTGAATTTTTCCTCTTATCTGTCAAGTTCTAGTACAGATTTGTTACTTAACTCTTAGTTACTTGATCAAAGATGTCAAAATGATCCATTGAAATTTGTCCTTTAATTTACACCTAAAAATATAGCTCTCCAGGACTCAATTTTATGTACGCAAATATATTGCACAGAAAATGAATTTGCTGGGCAAGAAAAACTGAGAAATAGTCACAAGCAGTGTTCATCCATGACACGTTGATAGCTAGCCTGTGTTTGCTGAGCAAACATCTGTTGTACTTAACAACATATTACGCTCAGCAATTCCATGAATTGCCTCTTGATATTTGCAGCTAGGCACTGCAAAGCGTTAAAATAGGAGTTTAGTCCTGTGTACATATATCTGAACTTCTTTTACTCTAAGCAATGTACTGTTCAGAACTGGTGTACATTGTTGAATGCCTCTAACCTTTGTTCATTTGTTCAATGGTTTAGGCAAGGCATTTTGGAGTTCAGTAAAGAAATTGAATCACGTTACTAATGTAGGTTTTTAACAAAACAGTTCTACTGGAGAGACTGTCAGGCATGTCAAATAACCTGATTGCATTGACAGGCTCAGAAAGAGCAATATCTTAACTTCCGTCGAGTCTACCACGGCGAAACAGACAACGTGTTTGCCCTTCAGAAGAAGGTCGCCGAGAGAGAGCAAAAGATGGCCGCTCGCCCAACCGGACCACAAGCCTTTGATAACATCTCCAATGCTGCTGCCATCGCCATGGCAACTGCTCTTCAGACAGCCCAGAGACCGACAGGTGAGGGTCTTGTAGAATTCCAGAGACTCTGCTTAAAATCGCGAAGACAGAGAAGAAGAGAATATTAGAGAAATCTTGAAATTTCTGTGCGATATGTTCAGGCTTTTTTTCCAAGTTGTTATTTTGTATTACCTTGAAGATAACCTATCAACCACAGGAAGATAGCTTAAGGGTTGCTACACATTTCAAAATGGCACATTGTCTGATACAAAACTTTCATTTTCCCCTGGTACACAAAAATCTTTAATTATGTCTCATATACATGCACTGTATTTCTGGGCAACTGAGAAATCCTTATCATTCGATCATACAGTACATGTAGGTAAGCTAGCCCAACACTATTTGCTATGTGACAGTGACAAACAAGAAAATAGCTGCAAGTTACTTGGAAAGCTGTACTAACATTTAGCTGCAGATTCTATGGTAATCTCACTTTGACTCTCAGCCTGATGCTTAGTTGTGTGTAATGAAAGTTGCTAAACATTTCTGTTTTACTTTATTTTTACATTTAGGAATACAGGGTGCTGGACTAACAGGCCCCTTCCAAGGTGGCATAGGGGGCACCACCGGCTTGGGCACTGGAGGATTTGGAACAGGCACCCTGGGCTTGGGAACAGGCACTGGCCTGGGAGGTGGACTGGGCGGGGGACTGGGTGGAGGACTGGGTACCACGGGGGGACTGGGTGCTGGTGGATTGGGCACCGGGGGCTTTGGGACAGGTGGCTTTGGCACCCAGTCTACCGGGCTGGGCAGCCAGACGAGCGGACTGGGCACCGGGCTGGGCGGAACGTCAGGTTTCGGCACCAGCAGCACCTCATTCGGGTTTGGCACAACAAAACCAACTGGCACTGCAGCCAGCTTTGGAGGCAGTTTGAGTGCTGGACCGACGGTTGGAAGCAGTTCCTTTGGATTTGGCGGTGGATCAGGTAGAATCCTTTCTCCCAAACGTAACTTTCCAGCCTTCCAAGTCCCATGTTGTGTGAAGTCGAGCACATCCATTTTGTCACTTTTTATAAATTTGCTTGTGGTTAATTCTATAAGTTTGGCACAAGCGGTGTTGCACTACCATTTGGCAGATATGACATGTAAATTGTTCCTGTTTCAAACATCGTATTTGTTTATGAAAGACTCAGTTGTTGAATTAATCATTTCTTCTGTAACTTGTTGCCACTTTTTGGTCGAGTCATTTTGTAAAAGCCGTGTCTTCATATTAATTTCCCTTTCCACCCGCCTTTCTCTACATTCCAAACTCTTTCCTTTTCGGAGCCATCACATATCATCTATTCGTTGAATCAGAATGGTGCACTTTTGTCTTCCCAAAATATGGGAGAAAAAAGCATGTTTCCATCTTGCAAGTGGGAGTTGAAATTAACCGAGGCACCTGCTAATGTTATCAAGATGAGATGTCATGCCCAGTTCACACTAAGAATAATTCATTCGTGCATGCCTTACCCTGTTAGTTCCGTTAACTGTCTGTACCTACCCCCCCTTTTACCAAGCTGATAACCTTTTCAGGTAGATGCACAGTATAATTGCATCAGCTCAGTTACTGCAAAGTTCAGTCGCCCTTAAACTGCCCCATATTTGCTGGAAAGTAAAGGCTTCAGCACTTGATTTTGTGTCATTTTGATTGCTTAAAAAGTGTAGAGTTCAAGCACTATCACACAACATAGAGCTAGATTTCCCTTTGTTGTTTAACTTCCACGATTAAGCAAATAGTTACCTGCACAGTGTAAACAGATGCCCCTGATTTATATGTTGGTGGTTATTAATGGTACAATCCATCATTTGTCGTCTGTGCATTTTGTTCCTTTGAGGCAACAAAATTACTTAAAATCTAAGTACGGTGCCTGAGAATAAACTTAATGAAGTCTCAGCTCAGTGAATTCTGTATATTTGAAGAAAAAAAATATTCTAGGATGTCGATTCCATATCAAAGTGCTCAGTCCTGTGGCATAATTTTGACAAGGATTTTTGCGTAGCCTTTATTGCTATGCACTATTCTTATTGCATAACATTTTGCTACGCATGCATAGAAATTTTGTGAAAGTTGCACCTGTGCTTAATAAAGAAATCTTAGTTTGTTTCATGGCTGTTTACTCAACATGGAGCCTTAAGACAGTAAGTGCTTAAACTGAAAGTTTTGTTCAACTGACTGTATGCACAAAATTAATGAGGTCAGTGCACGGATTTCCCAGCTTGTTTGGGGTATTTATCATGATCCCCTGCGCTGCGCACGTGATCTTGTGTGCTGTACGCTCAGGGCCTACGTGTATCTACCTTCGCTGATTTCCTTGCCAGCGTTAGCGTAACGTAATTCGCGTACAGGCCTGGTTTCCAAGCTAGCCAGGCCAAGGGTGGTTCCTGTATATATGTAAATATGTGCTGTATGACTCCTTCGGCCTGTGTGGCAGGAACCAGATACACGTAGACATAACGTGGGCAGTAACAGAGTGAGTGTCACCGGCACCGTGTACCCATACCGACAAATTATATTAGCCGCGCACGTTTGTGTGACGTATCAACACTTGCGCATGCTTTGAATGACAATTATTTGCCAAAAATACATCTTTAGGCACATCATTGGAAATGACCTTTCATCGTTTGCAAATGATGGACTGTACTTTTAATAGGACTAACAGATATGAAAACAGTAGAGATCTTTGTGTATGCCAACTTGCCATGTCATGCTTCATTCTCATTCCTAGACATTTCATGTCCCAACTCTTTCAAATCATCCTCTGTTTTCACTGACCCATGTTAGCCAAGGTTCTCTTCATGCTATTAATTTTCTTGGTATTTTGGCCATTTAGTTTGTTTCCAACTCATATCTGTATCTCTGGCTTTCTTTTTTTCTTCTGGTCTGCTTTGTCACAGTCAGCTTGTGTAAGCAGTGTACTCGATACTGCTCAGTCCTGTACACTCACAGTACTGCAGTGCACGCAATTTCTTAATCCATCATTTGACTGCGTGGCTACAAATCATTAAATAATTCTTGCCTTGGAAAAAAATATTTTGTATCAGAACCCCCCCCAAATCTGAACCGTTCGAAAATAAATGTGCATGGCATGACCACAATTATGGCTCTGAAATCTTGCAACTACTGGTGGGACCTGAAAGGACATGCCCATCATTCCCACCCGCAGCTTTTTCCCGCCTCCAACAAACACCTTCTCTTACTTTGTATATGTGACCAAAATGAATCATCCTTCTGTTTGTTGACGGCGCATTTTCATACATCTCCTCTGTCATTACTCCGTAGCTTTCAAGTTTTAGGTGTTCCTCTAAATAAACCGCTTGAAAGTCTCACCTCGGTGAGTGACTTCCTTGCTTGTTTTCCTGTAATTTTTATTCTTTGTTTCCTCCCTATCCTCAAGCCATTGACCACTCACACCCAAACCTGTTGACACCTTCATCTCCATACTCATCATTTTAAAGCTGCAAGCTGCATTCATTAGTATTAAATACGCTTAAAACCCTAAAATCTAAGTTCCAAAACAAACATGATTGAGACCTCACCTTCCAGTACTGTGTTCATTGGGTCTTCCTCATATTTCTGGGGTTGACGTGTTGCATTCCTACGTGACAGGTACATTAGTTGTGTGCAGGAACAAAAGAGGGGGCTATGCACCCAGTACATGTACATGTCGCTTAATGAGCGAGGACACTTGGATGATCAAAGTGAGACACACTGTACACTTGTGTGGCTGTTGTTTTGCACAATGTGAACCAAAGGTCACCAGCAAACCTGAACATGTTACATAACATGCTGTTCACGCATCATGTATGTGTTTGCCAGTGGAATGCACTTTGTGGAGGGGATGATGTTGTACCTGTATATGAGTTTCAAAACGCATTCCTGGATGCAACCCACTGTATTCCCGGGCAAAGCATTTCTAAACTGTGCGATTGGGATCGCTGTTAGAAGTCTTAACCTGAAGGATGCGAATAGGTGAAGAGTGTGGTGCAGTCGGGTGATCTGAGCGATGGTCACAGAACTGCTTTCTGGCTGCAAATAGATGATGATTTGCATTGAAATTTTAACCAAAAAAAAGAAGAAAAAGCAGGGTCATAATTAACACTTCAGGATAGGATAGCAACATTATTGCAGGGCAGCCCACCTTCCTGGAACCTTGCATGCAGAACACTGGCTGATGAGCACACTCTTTTTTTTTAAGTTCCCATCTGGTGCTTCAGTCTGGTATTGTGAGTTCAGTGATTTGTCCAAATAAACAGCGGACATTTCAGGCCAAAATGCTGCATGCATTAAGACTGATGGACTTTTAGCACCTTCACCTGGCAGCCAAGAAATTAAGACATTGGCAAGGTGCAAACCTGTGTCGTATTCACACGTATCTACAGCCGACAACATATGAAAATGAGGTGGCCTTATTTTCCTTTCAACTCCACTTGAAATACCCTGTTGTCGTGTGGTGTTGGTTGAAAAATGCTGTGAGGCTTTGTTAGAACAAGGTTATTTTTTCTTCAAGTTTCAAAGTAGCAGCCTTGCTATGTCAAACTGCCTGTTTCATTTAAAGATCACAATAAAAACATATTCATGTTTGCATGAAATTCTCCTGAAAAAGCCCGTCTTGAAAAGTGACTTGTCTTAACAGTTTTTGCAAGTTCACTTCCAAGTCCAATTTGTGAACTATCTTGCATAAGCAGACCGTTAAAATACATGTACATGTATTGTTCATGTATTCAACATAGTGCATGTTCACCCATCTTTCATTTGAAAGGTTGTAAATATTTTAAGCATTTTTATATCACAATTGGCTCACTTTTGCTGCAGCCATGTTCTCGCTCAGTCACATCTTCGTTCTTTTGCTTCAACCCATTTTCCATCGCAAAGGTTTTTGCTTGCCTGTTTATTTTTGCCCATCTGCCCTTTTGTTGTCTTGCTATCTTTTTGATAGGTGACATTTTTGTAAAAGACATTCTATTGGAGTTTTAGCCAACTTTCATAATAGGCATAGTAAAGTCTAAATCACATTTTTATTGTTTTGATGTCAGTACAATCCACAGCCTCCCAGAATGAACAAAAATAATTATACACTGGCTTTGTTGATTGAGAATTTCACTGTATAAGTAAACGTTTATTTATTGTCTTAATTTTCTCGAACTTATTCTCAGAAAAACTCCCTTTGGTAAATAGTGCTTTCTTTTCTGTGTTTCCTTTATTTCACTGGAGGTTTGGGAATGACCAATTTTGGCTCTGCTACCACGGGCAAGCCGCTTCAGCTTCAGAAACCTCCCAGCAAGTTCAGGAAGGGAACCAGGTAGAGGAAACCAAAGGAGTCAAGGCTTTGCATCTCTATACAGTTGAAGTCCTTGCTCATGTATGATACATCCTCACTCATGTGATACGCCCTCAGTTCTGTGCTTGTCACATCCCAGGATTTAGTAGTCAGTGTTCAATAGACATCAAAGTAAATCAGAGATGGCAGATTTGCATACAGTAAGAGCCATGCCAGGAGCCTCTGAAAGTGTGGACATGGACCGTTTCCAGTTCATTGCAGTATTTCTGTGCGCATGTACTGAACAACTGATTTGGACAAGTTTTCTAATAATGTCGGGGTGCACTTTTACATAGCGTGGTCATCTTACCGCACCTTGACTACAGGTGCTGCTGCAGTCAGCAGCAAAATTATACCTTTCCAGTCCCAGGTTTTGTGCAAAATAGTTTGCTGTACATGTTAATAAAGAATAAAATTTTCTCTCAAGTTCACCAGCCCTTCAAAGAATTCTGCTTTCACCTTGGAATTGTCCTGTAATGTGAACCCTGTGGTATTTTTTTTGACAGCAACCTGACTTGGCCTCCCCAGTTTTGAAGTTTTTGAAAGGGTGTTGCATGGCATACATTGGGCATCTTGTCATTATTTTGATGATGTGCTTTTAATATACATTATTGGGTGGTTGTTGGTAATAGATTAAGCCTCCTCTGCATGTGTTACCGATGGTGAGGTCTTTAAGGTTTTGTTGTATTTCACTTGAGGCTTTTTTTGCTAGTTGAGATTAATACCACAACTGCTTACGTTGACCTTCCTGTGCTAAGCTGATGAAATGCCATGCCATGAGTAATGTTTAGTTTCTCTTTCTTTGTATTCGTAAACAGAATCTTATCAATACATCTGTACAAAAGACACAAGTCTTGTTGGTTTCTTGCTTTAGAGAGTGATTTATTTTAGTTTCGTTTATGTTCTAATGAGACTAGGGTGTAGAATCTATACCTCTTGACAGACACCATATTTGGCTCAAACTTATTAATTTATGATCATTTGATTTATAACTTCTGGTCGCTTAAATAGTACCCTTGATAAAAAACCAAGTGAGAAGAAATACCCTCATTTCACTGTATTTAATACAAGGCTTGTGTAGCCTCAAGTGAAAATAAAAATCACTCATACACACATTAGTGCACAATTTACATTTATACAAGACATTTAGTTAAAACTTTCAACAGCTTGCATGTCTTTTCCAACAACTCGCAGACCAAGGAGAAAGAAATGACGTTGACATTTTGTCCTTTGGATAGTTGGAAACTCCAGTGAACACTTGAAACTCTACTTAGCCATAGCCAGATGTAACAGAAGCTGTATGGAGAGCAGTGTTACAGGCTCAACAGTGAAAATGAATGATTTTGTTACACTTCCTTTGAATAGCTTTGATTTGGCTTGCAGCTTATGACTATGATGGACTTGACAATGACACTGTAGTGTAAACTGGCCTAAGCAGTGTACATGGACAGATGAAATAACAGTACCAATGTAACTGTACATTGGTTAGAATCCAGGTTTAGTGAATACGCACTTAACTGAAAGTAAGAAAAACATTCACACAGCCTGAGCCTATATTTAAAAACTGCAGCTCTTGGTCAACAACTTCAATATTTCTCATACCAAGGTGGTTTTTTTTCGTGTAATGGAGCCTTTGCTTCCATCAAACAGTCAAGCCATACACTCCCACCTGAACACAGCCACAGTGACAATGGCAGGTGCTAGTTATTTTGAGGCATGCAGTCATTTCTGTTGAAGCAAGATGATTCAACAACAGCTGACTAAATGGCAACACAGAGACGGAGATTGGTGCAACAGAATCCAGCCATCCAGCACGAAAGCATCGACATGAAAGAGCGGAAACAATTTCTCTTTCTACTCAAGATCTGAGTCCGAGTCGTCGTCGTAGCCACTCCTGATTGTCTTTTTCTTCTGCGGTCCCAGCAGCGACTTCTTGCCGCCGGAGTTTCCGGCGACAGGAGGCTCTGACAGGTTCCCACTGTACTTGATCATGTCAGCGCAGCCCAGACGCCACTCCAGCATCTCTGTGGGGAAGTCATCTGTACCTCCCAGGTCATCAAAACTATTCCATGAAGAGAAGATGGGGTTTTAAGCACCTTGGAATAATTCAATCAATGTCTGAATAAAAAACTGAAAATCTGAGTCCCTTCTTTGGGGAACGAGCACATCAAAATTTGATGTTAAAGCTGGAAGTTAACCAATAACAACAGTTTTATTCAAAAATCAAGAGATCAGTTGGTTCATTTCTTTAATCAAATGAAATTACTATGTACACAGTGCTGTCAGAATTTGCATGTTTAACATCAAAGAATTTTAAGATGCCCACTTACCCGACAATGTAGTCCTTGGTTTTGCCGCCCATCACCAGGGCTATCGTCGGGATGACGACTATCCGCAGCCTCTGTGCCAGGAAGGGGCTCTTCTCTGCATTGATCTTCAGGAAGCGCGTCTCCAGGTGCTTGCCCGCCAGGATCTGCAGGTGCTTGTCCACAATCTTGCAGCGGAAGGCGCTGTCACGGTAGAAGTGGACGACGACCCGCTCGCTCTTCTTGCACTGCTCGAAGAAGGCCTTCTCATCAGGCAGCTCCTCATAGCTGCCGTGGTGGGCTGCCAGCCACTCCTGCCGCTGTTGCTGCTCCTTCTTCATGGCGTCCAGCCGCCGCTGGCGCAGCAGCTCCATCTCCTCCTCATCCATGTTGTCAAGACGATGAAGCTCTGCATCCACCTGCTCCTCCACGATCTCTGCTGCCTTGAGAATTTGTTGCTGCAATGCTTGCTCCATGATTTGGGTTTTTCAGTAGGTGCACCTTAGTTCCAAAAATGATCTGAAAAAAAAATTAAAGGAAAACTGAAATTCTTTTTGTAAAAAAAAAGTTGACCTAGATTAATTTCCAAGTAACAATTCAATTCCTCAGTTCAAAAGTTCTTATTCTGGGCAAAAGGGATGATACAGCCAGACGGGCCTCCATTCAACACAATTTTGAAATCCACCATGTCTGGAGTTTGCTTTTAAGTAGAACTACATTTGTATGGTAGTTTCTAGAAAAGCCAGAACGAGGAGCTCCATAATTCTAGGGGCAACAGTGAATCACAAAGGATAATCTCACCAAAAAGACATACAAGGCTACAAACTCCCCAGGAGTTTTGTATAAATGATGGAAAGAGTTCCCATAGACTATATGGACAAAACTTGGTGCCCATGTGCACAAACTTGAGACTTGTCTGATAAATTGTGTTTTCCAAGTACATGTAAATGCTTTGGGAATTTTCTCGGCTAAACTTCACTTCTTGGGATGTGTTATCACTTTTTGACGGCTGTTATTAGTGTTATAACATTTTAAGGGAAAATTAGTGTTGTCTATAGGCCTAGGCCTATATCATATATGGAACTCTTCCCTACATGACGACTGACATGATTGATGTTGCATGATCCCCCATTTCAAAACAGTAGATCACAATCTCTCTACCAATCTGATGCCAGAAATCCAGTACATGTTGTGTACCTCCCACTTCGAGAAACTCAAAGGCACACCGGGTGCCTTCAAAATTACTAATGTAGAAACTAGGCCTAGCCTAGCCTGTAGGCCTAGCATGTTTCATGTTAGTGAAGAAAAGTATCATATCATCATATTCGGCCGCTAGTCCGAAATGTCCAAGTAAGTAACTTGCACTCTTGCGACCATGTCCAAATGTTAAAAAACGCGATCTGCAGGGTTCAAGTTACTCGGAGTACTACCACTACCAGTGACTACATATAAGCATAGTTAGCAGGATAAATGAAGCGTCCGGAAACTGGTCAGGTAAAAAGTACCATAAACCATGCAGCCTAGGCTTGGGAGGGCCGACACTGATGTAAACGTTCATGAATGAAGTTAGACCTAAAAATCCAATTAAAATCAAAAATCTTTTTGAAAACTAAAATACGCATTTACACATGTTACAATAAATATACACTACCCTTGTTGAAGTTTGATACTCACAAAGTTAATAAATTATTTGAGTAAATTATTGGTTGATTAAGTGTTGCTTTACATGCGCATTGTACAAATTACAAACACGACCGACTTCCGATTAATCGTAACCAAGATGAGCTTTCAAAGACTTTTCTTGATTGGCTGTTCTCTTAAGCGTACCATTTACTGTCCAATCAAATAAATGCTTGGAAAATTGAGTAATCATCTGGTTCCCCGTAACATCTCCGACGGGGTACTCTATTAGTACTAGATGGAGTCAGTGGAATAAGACTGTATCCAACGTTCAGAATTCTAGATGGCGCTAGTCAACTTTAACGGCGCTATCCGCCGCTATCCAACTCTACATAGGTTGGAATAATAGTAAATCCGTCAACCTGGGAGAACTTACGATTACACTGGTCTGAAGTTTCACGATTACGTTGAATTTGTCTATATTTATACTTATCAATCAACATGTTGTTATTAATAAACTGACTTGGATCGGGTAGGAGCTGTGGAGCTATGATGGATTTAAGTGAAAATAACAATACATTTACATGTAGATGCAAAGAAAGGCACATGAAGACTTAATGTCCAATCTAATTTCATAGCCTACGGTACACTGTGTATTCATCGTACTATAATGCACAAAGCAAACTTTATAACACTTGATGAATACTGGTCGCTGGAAAAGTCGAAGCTTATATAGGCCTACGTAGCAAAGCAGCAAAGCTGGTTGGAGTAAACAAATTTTATGTGAAGTTAAGCTCAAAGACGGAACTAAGCCAAGTGAAGTTAATGAAGACTCAGTAGTACTGATGAGACATAAGGATACTGAGATTTTCAGTCGCAAATCATTACTGAAATCTAATTGACATTCTCATAATACAGTTTATATGCACTCGACCGATCTGTAGGCTCCCAGTCTGAGGTTTGGTTCACGGTGATTGAGAGTGTTTAGTGAGGCTGAAACAAGAAGAAAAAAATTTCCTCTTCAGTTGCTAAAGATCTTTCCCCGTTAAGTATTATAATAAAAATTTATAACTTAGTCTGACTTCCAGTTTTTAAATTTATTGTTACAATGACCACTGTTCAACATTTAAGAAATCCTTAAAGCTTTTTGGAACATCCGCTACTCTGCCAGTTCCCGTGAATGCATCTGCTGACAATCTTCTTGACATTTGACGAGTGGCGCTCTCTCCACTAGCAACAGGAGGCAAGAGAGAGAACTTCGGCAACTTCAGTCCCGTGGCTTTTGCAATTTCAGTTCCTGTACTGTTGTCCATTTTATCATCGAAGTCGTGGATTCCTTTCAACACTGGACTTGGCGGCCGCTTGGGCAGTCGGGTCTCACAGACGAAAACGACAGACGCTGTCTTTCGCACTTCGAATTGTGATCCGGTTTGCGAAGACGGTACAGTTTGATTCTGGCGCGATTTGCCGGTTCCGTTGGCGACGGCAGTCTCGTCTGGTACCGCATCGCATAGAATATCTTGGCATCGTAGGCAAAGGTGACATTTGTGGCACCAACCTTCGAGTCCGACGATTGGGTCGTCTGCTACACAAACTTTGCGTCGACACTGCAGGCACGTGGCTCGGAACAAAGCGGGACCTAAAGCAAAAGAGAAAGTGTAAAGTGATGCATAAAAATGTTGCACAGTGTAGTATGCCCACTGGTATTTGACAACGCTTGGAAATTTCATAAGCCTCGCCTGTAGCCTAAGGAATATACATCTTGCTGTACAATAACCTAATTACAACGTACTTAGCAGCGAAAACTGAAATGTAGCCGGCTAAGGGACATCGTAGTCATCACTCTATCATTCAAGCCTTCCTTTTGAGTTCAGTTTTCTGATATCAGTCGACTTATATCCCCAAAACAAAAGCGGCCGGCTTTTACTCGTCGTATTTCTAGAATAAAGTAAGGATTTTTTGGGGTTTAGTTATTATTCAATTTGAAGGATATGACTTCGAATAAAATTCGGAGTTTTTTTTTTATTTCGAAATTTGCGATTTTTTGAAAAATGGGAAATTTGGGAAAGTTAAAATAAAGGAACAAATTTAAAATGTCGAGAAATGTCAGAGACAGATTGGAAAAAAATTTGCCTGTTGCCACTAGGTCTCTTGAAACGTCCTCTTCTTAAAAAAAATTATCAGTTCCGGTATAAAATAATAATTGTTTTTCTGGGCCTCTGGGGGTGGCTAATTCCGCGCCTCACAGGTGACAGAACCGTCTGTAATGATAGACGTATATAATTATTATCATCATCATCAGACTCACGCTTTGAATGAGGCATTTCGTAGTCAAACAAGTGATCGACTTCACAATAGCACGTCCCACTTCCAGGAACTTTGGTGTAACATCGGATGTTACTGGTCCTAATAACGTCGTACACATTGTGATGTAGGCGACCCTTGTCCATAGCCATCTCGGTGATGGTTACATTTTCAATTCTCACTGAGTTCGGCCCGAGTCTCTTCACCTCGAAAAACTCCCTTACGGCCCTCTCGACCTCCGCATGCATCCGGTAGAATTTGATCTCAGACAGGAGAAACGCCTCGGTGATGTGCTCGGGCACCGCGACGACCTTCCCGTATCGGCCGTAGTTCAGTAGCACTCGCAGGGCGTCCGCGTCTCTGTCGATCCGGTAGACGCCATCTGAGGGAGACGCGTCCTTAGACACGTCGTCGTCGTTTGTCTCGTCGTGGTCCAACAGGAGGGAGAAAAATTCACTCCGGAGTCTTTCCAGGCTGGCCCTTGTGGTCTCGAGCATGGTACCGCCCAGGTTGAACTTTAGCCACTGCGATTTATCGAAGATATCTTGGGCGGGAAAATGCTGGGAGTCGGCCGGCAACTCTTGGTTATCTTGCGCCATTTTGTGTGGAGAGTCATATTTTTACGTATGTGCATTCTCTGTAAATAAAATTGACAGAGGTTATGACTTAACTAGATAAATTTGTTGTTAGGGGGATTTTTGTAGTAAAATGCATCGTCAACTCGAATTGCAATAAACACAGTCACAAAGCTCATGGGAGGGTCGATCAGTGTTTCCTTGGCTAAAAATAAACCATCACAAAATGATATAGGTCTCACTTTTGAGACTCACTAAACCGCGTTTTGTTCTTTCAAGAAATTCACTTACTTTCAGTGCATCTTAAAGTCCTATAGCGCGCGTTGAAGAATTGCAACTTTAGCGTGATAGGTATTGCTTACTCGATGGCAGGTGCCGAAAGAAAAATCGTCCAGCGCCGTGATGCAAGTAGCTGTCACATTAAAATAGTTCCATTTATAGAACATGTAATTAATCATTCATGAGTTCGTGCCACTTGTGGGGCCAACACGAAGAGGCATATTAGGTGCGATCGATCAGGACATAATAGGACAATCTTAGAGAGGAATTTAGGGCATAAATGGCCGAATCAATAACGAGCGTGACAAATGACCCCCTCGATCTGGTTTGTCAAAATGTCATCCAGAACACTGCAGCCTAATCGCTGCTCCCCGCTCGAAAACTGCACCATACTACATGTATGTCCAGAATGTGTGATTATCAAGGGCTGTGCTAAATAACGGTGCTGTTGGTGATTAATGTAAATTATACGCATTCTTTACAGATATATCTAATCCCGTGCGCATAGCTTCGTGTTACTGGTTTCTTTGTAATTTATTTCCAATCAAGAATCAAGAACTGGTTTGATGAAATATCGAGTTTTAAAATAAAGTTGCCAAACTTCACAGACTTCGCCCACAGAACGCTGTACACACTCCTCAGTAATGACAATGGATTTCTCCTAACGTTTAACTCTTTAGAAAGTGCACTAAATCCAAATCATACTAACCTGTCATTAAAGTGTAATTACGCATGTCGGAAGCGTGAACTCTTGAATATTGCCATATATTCATAATCGGTGCTCATGAGATATCTTTGAAGAATTGAAAATGCGCTCTTTGAAAATTAATTAACGGTTTAATACTTTATTTACGGAATAACAAAGCAAGCACTGTTTAATTTTACGAAGTTAGGCTTCAAGAGCGTCATCATTGTTTGCTGAGTTAAAACGAAATTGAACGACAGTCACTAATCATGTCAGACTAGAAGTACATAGCGCCCTTAACCTGTTAGGAGAATTTTTTTTTTCTTGCTTAAGTCCCAAACTTCACACTTTTATCGCAGTACATTGTAATTTTATTTCGGTCTTTACAACTGTGCGTTTTATTCAGAGTGCTGCCAAAGTAATTAAATTTAAAGTAATTCCCCAAATAGTCGGCTTACTCATTATATGCAGTTAAAACAAGATTCAGATTAACTCGTAGTGTTAAAATTTTATGAAAATGACTCTTAATTGTAAAATATCCTACTGAAAATTTCCAGTGGCCTGAGAGCGTTTGAAAATTGAAATACCATTCTCATTATTATGCCGTGGTATAAGTTTCAAGCCATCCCAAAATCCCATCTGTAATTTGTCACAACGTAGATTAAATCTTTGTTTTAGTTCTTGATCGGGTGCTGAAGTTTTTCCTTGACGAACAAGCCGTAGGTGACCAGGCCCGCCAGCGTCTCTGTCCCCGAGGGGATGATCTGATCAGCCGGTAGTAGGAAACCGTGTTTTCCGGTGTCTCGCAGCTCCACGCCGTACGAGTATGTGATGTTTAGCTTGGCATACGTGAAATCAGCACTTGATCCAGAAGACAAGTCTGAGTAACAACATCCGCAAATTAAAAAACACATCACAGAAATCCCTTATCGATATAAATTTATCATAAAGGTCTAGCAGTGTACCGTTTTCAGTACGGTCATACCGTAGGGGGCATTACGACCTGAAAAATTAATTGGAAAAGTTGAATCGTGAAATATCAAGGCGAACGAACAGGAAACGAACAACACTTCTATAGTTTTGAAATACTTTTTGTACGAATTTCATTATATTTTGCACTCGCAGATATATTAGTATCACGTAGGCGTTGGCTTTTTTTTTTTTAATAATTCGGTTACAGGTTTGCTAGATTTCCAAAAAGATTTGCTAAATTACCAAAAAAGACTTAATATGCCTAATTGTTTATTTCGGACAGTTTCAGTACGGGTGAACTCACAGTTGATGATATTTGCTATCGATCCACACTTATACACTGTTCCATATACCGCCTCTAGCGCTGCAATCGTTTCCTGGCATCCTTCGATCTAATGAACAAAAAATATGATAATGACGATTTAATGATAATTAAAAAGGAAACAAATACAGGTCCTTTTTTATAAATTGGGAAAAAAAGACAATTTAACAAAAGCAATTATACAAACTTAGGTACTTTTGCCACAATTTTAATTGATGGTTTAAAAGTCATTCTTTTAATTTTCAAGTTTACTTCTATGCATTTACCACCAATACCAATGATCTTCAGTCTTTTCCCCTCCTAACCAGTTCAATGTTTTACAGTGGCCTCGGTACGCGAAAAGTACTCGACTACAATACTGCTACTCACTCACCAAAACCTTGTAATCTGGAGGCAGTTCTTTCGTGTAGGCGTACGGCGTCATCCACAGCTGACTGTAGCTGTGGAAATCGATGAAACCCTTGAAGGAAATCCCAGGTTGTGAGATCAAGAACTTGGCAACATTCAGCACCTCCACAGCGAAGAAGGGGAACGGACCACAGTAGGTATCATCGCATGGGTTGTGACTCGCACCTTTTTCTGCAGTTGGATAAGCAGATATTATAGGTGGTGCTTCGAGCTTAAATCTCTCCACAGGACTGGATGGATTAAACGTTGCATGGGTACGAAGCACGAGTGCTCCGTAGGACCTTCGAACTATTTCGTCGGGAGCCCTATCATGGCGGTTTGATAAGGGGAAAACACATGTACCATGCACGCATTTCATAGTGCTCGTTAGCCCAAGAGCTTCGATCGCATTTAATTAAGCTATGTAGTAGATACTATGAAGAGAATTCGGCGAAAGACAGTAAAACTTTTACAAACTGTCTTCTGACTGCGTGCATAGCTATAGGCATGAGTGTTTTGTGGCACACTGCGGTATTGTCTCTGGCCTTTTTCCCACCTCCCGAAATTTTGGTATAGATCTCAGTCACAGTGCCGCTCCTGTGCGTACTGAATCCGTCCTTGTATCTCAATGCCTTCAAATGTTATGTATTTTTGCGTTTTGCGTGTTGCTAAACTGTGACTGGAATACTACTGAAGACTTCCCGTTTTTTCAGTTATTCGAATCTCTACTTTTTCCCCAAAGAGTAGCTATCTGCCCGGCTCTTTGGAGTTGTCTTTTGCCAACCTTACCGGCAAATTTGACAGGAAAGTTCCGGTTGGGATCCAAACCGACACAACTTGTTCCGGTGTTCTTCGTTCGAGTCTTTCGCCATCCTCTTGCCTGTAGATTTAAGAATCGGCAAAATTACCGAGTTAATTGTAACAATCAAACAGTTTACCTTAAACAACGAAGTTTGAACATTTTGATTATAGCGTTCAGGTACCTTTGGTTCCGACGTCCAGGTATACACGTAACCATCTGGGTTCACCAGCGGAACAAAAAACACATCGAACGTGTCGAGGATGGTCGTCACATTCTTGTCCTTTCCGTATTTATCCAGCATCTGCAAGCAAATGTGATGTTTCATCAGAAGAACTGGGAGAAAAGAGCCGTTTTATTTTGTACCGTTTAGCTCTCGTAACTGATAAACTGTCCATTTTCAAATTGAGCCCTTAACAGCTGTCGTATCAGGTTTTTTTTTATCTCCTTTCAACTCTGTACCTTCTGCGCAGTTTTAGAATCTGCATAACTTCAGTGTTTCAATAAATAGTTTGCCAAACAAGATCAAGAAGAATAATTTAGATCGTGTATAATGCGAGTAGTTTATGTAAAGTGTATTGAAATATACCGGAATTATTTAGTTAAATTTGGCAAGCTATTTACTATTTACAATATTTGGACAATAAAGTTATTTTTTTCCGGTTCATACTTGGTGCGAAAGTGAACACAACAGGAAATTTTAACCTCAGATCAACTATTCGAGCTGCAAAATTAGATGAACAAATTTTCAGCTCAATCGAACTTGGCTGCAAATATTTCTTGACATCAAATTCGCACTGCTTTAGCGTTCGCCTGCATTAACCACGACCTTTACGCGATAAGTTTAACTTGATGAAATGTTGTTGTTTTGTTTTAATGGCGCTTTCAGCTACTCAGGCTATTCGCGCCAATAACTATACGTTCATTTCATAACTTTTATTAATCAGCATCACATTACAGAGTTAGGAAGAAGGTCCAGTTTTAGAGGCAGGAGGAAATCGGGGTACCCGGAGAAAAACCTGCGAGAGCGAGTATGGACTGGAAACCAAATGTACTTAAAGTCTGGACCAAGCCGAGACTGATGAAATTTGAAATAACAGACTTCTTTTTAATAACCGTACAGTTGCCGCCATGAACATGACAGTTGCCGGTGCAATCCACTCTCTTGCATGCATGCCGCTTTGGAAGTAGAGGGCGGGGCGAAGCGTTGCATTAGGTGTGTTGCCTTTCATTGCGGTGCTGATCTGGTGTTTAAAAAAAAATAAAACTGGATCAAAGTTCCTCTCAGAAACAAACTCTCAAGAAAGTTACTTTCCAGTTTTTCCCTGTAAGCGTCTGTGGTTGTGCTCAGCTTTGTTTGCTGAATTCTGTAATTGAACTGCATGCCTTCGTGGTTGTACTACTGTTTTAAGAAAACGCCTGGAATTGTCACTATTTTATGCCGATTGAAAGAACAAAAGTGTAGGCCGCAGGTAAGAAATTATTGAAAGCCTGTCAGTGGGTAAATTTTCACGATGGGAATTGTCTTACCTGGATTCCATTGACGGTTCTACCTTCAAATGACACTCCCAATTCATGCAGACGAGTTATTTTAGGATAAGCGGCAGTGATGTTTCTTGTCCAGTCTAAAATCTGACAAAATCAAAATTCGAATGGTCGAAGTATGCAGGTAATCACTACGATGCAAATATATTTCCGATGTACACATGCTCAGCATGTTAGACTGGAATTTAGAATTTTTGCTCAGTGCTTTATCTTGACGACCCTTTCCCACTTTGAAATAAAACCTAAAATTTCTACTCTGGCAATATTGCGTGTACTTTTTTGACCGACGCTCATATAAATACCGAAGTTCTAAGTTTGGTAAATGAGACTCATCGATTCACCTGATTTTTCAACCGACCCCATTCGTACAATAGCTTGCAAATATTAATATGTTTGGCCAGAAAGTCCCAGTTCATGCTCGTGAAGACCCTTTACCTGTTGACCGCGTTTAAAAACGAAGCTGAACTTTGTACCTCTTCATAGGTATGGTATTTGCCATAGTCGAACATGGTAGGCTTCAGTCCAACTGCCCAGATTTCGCTCGGTGCAGATGCACCTGCCATCTGCTGTTCCGCCAGCTCCTGTACATTCTCTATTTTGGTCTGGAAATAAAAGCAAAGATGACTGAAGAAAACATGCAGGGTGCACAAACTAGTCCAACTAGTCTGGATTTTTTTCAAAGAGATTAGCACTCTTACCAACATTGAAGTATTTTATTGTAATAAGAGAATGGAAGTGATGGAAAATCATCCCTCGGTGCCACGTTTACCTCTGTTGTGAAATTTCCACTCTCTAGGTGTTTCCGAAGTTGTTTTATGTGACTGGATGACACCATCAGATCAACTCCTTGCCCGGGAGCACGGGGGTAAGTCCAGAAAGAAACCTACAAAATTGAGGAGTGGTCTTTAGAATTTAAGGTGCTTTTCTAAAACACATTTGTCCAAAGCGTTTGCAGGCAGCCCAACTTCCCCCACAAGGGTCATTTAGTATATGGTTAGGCAATGGGTATAATCTTGCAGCAGGTATAGTTCGAGAGAAACATCTATACCGGTGCTGAACATTTCACAAGCGTAGGTAGGTTTGCACTTGGAAGCGTCGGCTTAGAAATTGATGATTGGAAACAGAGCTTAAGAGAAGATTTCATCAGACTCGGCAAAACGTCTCCAAATAATGAACACTTTTCTCCAATAATTCCAGGCCCAATCCTTATTTGGGGCTTTTAATTAATTTGCATGGGGTCAAAACCGATCGTTTCTGACTTACCTCAAGATTTGGTTTCGTCTGAAGGAGATGTAGCATCTGAACATCATCCTCTGTCCGTGGAGTTACCGTCAGAACTTGGTGCCTACGTAAGTTAAGCATGATGACATGGCAATTTTCTATCAAAATTATTCTGCGCGCCTAACTTTTCAACCATGCACATGCAGCCAATCTTCATAAAGCCAATTAGGAGGAGGGTCCAATGATGAGGTACGTGCTAGTGTCATTGTCTACTCAATAATTTTCTGGGAACGTTTGGAACGATATAGTCTTGATGGTGTCAGATGCTTGTTGGAATCCACTTCGGACTATGCCAATGGCGTGGCCTACAAGCAACTACAGGTGGTGAGACCGTTATCGGAGAAAGTGTGACGTTATGCCTACGCATGATGCCCAAATGGGGCTAAATTCCTCAGCCGACGGATGCTAAACTTAGTGTGCAAACTTGGATTGTAGTTGAACGTCAGTGAACGTTATAAAAACCCCTTTCATTAGAAAAATTCGAGGAGAGAAGGGATTACCTTTCCGTCTCTGATGGCACCCCCACCACAACCAACAGAAGTGAAGCGCTAGCAAAGAAAGCAGACAAGAAGCAAAGTATATACCGAGCCATCGCTGCAATCTTTTTCCCGTCCGAGTCAACCCCTTCACTTCAGCTGCCTTTCGCACAGTGACAATGGACCACGTCCCATGAGCAAAAATTATACCCTGCAGTTTGCGTGACTTGTTGAAAACCTGAAGGCATCTGTTTCGAGAGAATTGTGCAAATAAATAAAATCACGTGCATCGCGTGGTGCAGATCTTGTGGCACTTGAGTTCCCCTCTTAAAGATAAGCAAAAAGTTTACACCCCACGTAACGCGGTGTCTCCTCTTATTTTCATGGATGTATTCCATTTTATATAAAGACCTGTGATAATAATGCCCCAGGGGCCTACTCGTCTAATTAATTGCGACAAGATTCGGTGACCTTCTGTACCGTATGTCCAAAGTACTACGCTTACAAGAATATAAAGGGTTATAAAAGGTTGTTTTTGGACCAATTTCTTGTGACTTAGTTTCCGACCATAGACCTCGAACTGATGCGGTTTCACCATAGGCAGAGGTTGGCCTTTCCCAACCCCCAAGAAAATTATTTCAGATTTTCAAAACATCCACCGAACACTTTCTGGTTCTTGAACCGTGCATACCTGTCAAAACTGTGCACGATTGCACAGTTGGACTGCAATCCCTATATTACAGAAAAAAACTGGCTATTTGGGAGGATATTATCTGCCCTCTATCTTGATCCATATCCCCCACACTTTGTCACACTACTTAGTGCTCTGAAGGTCATAGTTGCATCATCATCTCTTTTTTTTGTCTTTTTAATGTAACGCAGCGACAAATTTGTTCGCAGTAGCGCGCCCACTCGGAAGTCCTGACTTCTTTCGTTTGTTTAGTCCCTCGTGATCCGTTTCGGCTGATTGTGGGGATCAAGTGATTGGTCGTTAGCCTGATCTTGACCTTTCGACGGCTCACCATGAGCAAAATGATGATGCAATGGGTTTGAGCGTCGTTGACGACGTCACGAGCGCGTTCGTTTTCCTGCGGCTGTGACAATGTGTGGGGATTGGAAACAGTATTCGCCTCGACCAGAAGTACCCCCTCATCGGTTGCAACATTGAAAAGAGCCGCGTTGGTTGCAGGTGTTCAATTTGTTGGTAGCGATACCGTGACGCGTGCGTTTCCCAGTCGTTCGTGATCCAGCGAAGTTCAGTTCTGACCAAAGGAGCCTCCGTTGCTAAGAAAATAGCGCCCTCTCTTAGACCAGTTCGAGGCCCATGGAATGCCTGATACTGCTGCGAACGAAATTTCTTTGTCTATCCATTGAGCACGTTTTTGCATCTAAAATTCAAGACTTGGAGTTGTTTGTACATTCCAAGATCTGAGCCTTTTTGGGGGGGGAAGGGGGGTCCGGATTGCCAAACAGAGGGGGCATAAAGGGAAGTATCCGAGGCAAAATCATGGGAACAGGATGGAGGGTTATTGCCTTTTTTACATGAAGGTAATTTTCCACAAAATTCACACACCCACTGTGTGATACACATGTACTTTATTTTCTCTGTTTATATGGGAAAACTTCATTTACACCGACACACCACAATTATCTTTCCTTTTTCATGTGAAATCTGTTACTATGGTGCATCCAGGTCAATGACTATGAGAAAAATCAACGTTCAATCCTAACAGTATCTTCACGTCCAAACAGTCCACTGCTTAAATTCATCACTATTGTGACTATTGAGTGACTATTGGGTGACCATTAAGACAACAGCTGCATAAAGCAATAGGGCTCAGAATTACTGTAAATCGCAAATAGTTCACATCATTATGCCATGTAAAAACCATTCCAGGGAAGGTTTTCTCAACCAAGTATTCACGTCTGGCTGTGGTTTCAGCTCCATGATAAGTCACAAGTTGAGGCCATAAGTGCAGCTACACTGTATTGCAAAGGAACAGGGAATATTGAGCACTGAAGCTAAATTCAGCAGATATTGTCAATGTGTCTCGGCAGTAAAGGGTGGAAAATGACTCTGGGCCCGAGGTGAAGTCAGAGCCACAGCTCTTATTAGCAGATTACTGCTCTCTTGTCCTGACTGTAACGCTGGGGCTCATCTTCCCCGCTGTGTCACTCTTGGATCATTTATAAGCATCTCCACATGAGAGATTTATCAACTGGCCTGCTATGTGCTGGAATTTTCATCGTTGCTGGTTGAACTCCGTCCAAAAATTCTGCTGATGAGGGGTCTGAAAAGCAGAAAATAAATACAACAAATTCATTCAAAACTGGCTTTTGATCAAACAAATCGAGTTGCGAGTTTCCACATAACCTTTAAACAAACATTGCACAAAGGAAATCAAGAGTAACTGTCAATGTTTTCATCCACGTCTTGTTTTTAACCACTTGCTGCCGGGGACTTCTATTCGAGCACCATGGGTTTATACGCAGAGCTGGGGTGCCCGAAATGGAACAAAAGAGCTGGTCCGTGTAACAAAAGACTGTACTCGGAACAAAAGACCTGCTGCTGGGAATTGCTAATCCAGCCGCATTTGAAAAGACGCCACGCCCATTCACTGGGGACAAAGGAAATTACGGAACACCTCACAATGCTGGGCTCTCTTTACAGGGCGGCAGGAAGGTTATCTGTCAGCTCAGAGTAGACACCAAACAGTCATTTGTGTGGGTGTAAATGTCCATTAAATGAAATGATGAATTTTGGAAGAATTTTGAAAACTTAAAATCTTGAAAATCACCCGTATGTGTGCACTACATTTTTAAAAGCATCAAGTGGTTAAGGATATTAAATTAAGTGGTGTGTTTTGAATTGAATTCCTTTTGACCTTTGACAGCCAAATTTTCATTTTCTTTAGTCATTAATTTCTTGGCAAGAATGTTCATAAGACACTTGTATCTCTTTTAAAGTATTTTTGAAGGGTGACCATCCAACGTACTAACAAATGAACTGAAATAACATTTCACAAACTTCAGTTCCACAGGAGTTTCATTTCCCTGAGGGCTTTACTGGTCCCTTCTAGTACAGAGATTCTTTGCAAAACTGAAGGCAGTACTCACTTGTGTTCCAAGCCTTTGGCTAATTCGTAGGCACCTCTGTCCTTCTGCTCCTCTGGGGAACAAGAAACCATGTTGAAGGTAAGCATAAATATAAGTATAAGAAATAGATGTTATCAGTGTTGTACTATCTGCTCCCTTTGGTGTGATTTTGTGTTTTAAAGGGTTGCTGCAATCAATTTATCTTTATACAAACCTTCAAAATACACCTCTGTGTCTCAGTTAACCCCTTCTCAACTTTTGTTCCAGTATTTCAAAGGTTTTTTGCCACCTTTTTGGCTTTTGTGTTAATTTAGTATTTCCATATCCATAAGTAAAGCTGTGATACCATCCCAGGGAAAAAACCTGAATGTTACATTGGTTTGTACAAAAAAAATCCTCAATTTGGGGGACTTTGCTGGACTAAATTTTCTCTCCTTTGCTAATTGATTTTTGTTTAAGTGCATAGCAATAAGTGAGCACCAACGCTTTTCTCAGAAATGTTTCCAGTAAGTAAATTCTGGGTTCACAATTTTAATAGAAAAGCCTGCACAATGAACTATGTTTTCAGTGGATGCTATCACAGCAACAGCGCCCTCAGTTGTTCAGGGAGGCATGGATACTTCAAAGTGTTTTAAAAAAGAGTTTTCAGTGCATTTAACCAAATGGGAGTGTAAAGAAGTGATCAAACATTACAGAAAAGTATAAAAAAATGCAGAAAATTATGTCTAAAAAAATTTCATTGCACCTACCCTATCAAAAAAAAGAGAATGCACCCAAAATTTCTAAGAAAGGGAACAAAGGAATGTATTTCTGCTCCCTTTAAACCCTGCCCCCTTCTACGCCAACGACAAAAAACCTTATCAATTTCACAGCTGTTTCATACTTCAGGCAAATGTGGAAGTAAAGTAAATTTGACGTTGATACACCTGCAGCAACATTCACTTGAGTTGAGATGTGAAATGTCTGATCTGACATCATAGATTCACATCTGTGTTTGTGCCAACTATGAACCAGCTTTAGGAGTGTGTTAAAAACCCGAGTTCAGTCGACTTTATCTCCCAGTGTCGTTTCAGTACAGAGAATGTCCCGTTGGGTGATAGCACAGTGTTGTACTTGCTGGATTGACCAAAGGTATGTAAAAAAACACATACCTTTTAGTTTTGCGATGAGTTGCTCCGTTAACACATCCTGTAGCGGTCTGAGAGGATTCTGCTTCTCCTCAATCAGACGCTGCTTGGCTATTGCCTGAGATTTGGTAAGTCCCACCCACTCAGCCTCTTCTTTCTGTGGTGATACATTAATGTTCGTAAGTTTGAGATTAAAACAAAAATATTCACTTCTTATCGAAGTGAATAGTCTTACATGTAGATATCGAATTAAATCATTGCATGATTCTGAGTGAAACGATTCCCCTAAAACCTACTTTCTAAAAATGACTTTGAAATATCCATGACTTAACCCACAAAACATTTGACCTTGAAAAATTTGATCATAGGCAATGTCACTGATGTATCTCTCAGCTGAAGGGTCTGGTCATTCCCTTTTATTTGATACCACACGTGATGTAGAGGCACTAGCAATGTTGAAGATTCCTCACAGATGTATGACATAAAATGGGATTGACCCACAAAACGTTTCGATCATTTCCAACTACAGTAGATTCCCGTTATAGCGCTCTCAAGGGGATTTGACAGAATTCAGCGTTATAACCACACAGCTATAACCGACTGGATGGACGCGCAACATGTGCAATGCATATGTGCACATGTACTGCTATGTTCCTGTATAGATTCATGTACATGTATGTCATGTATGTGAATTTCGTTTCTATGTTTTGGCAGGTGTCCTGTAACTTTCGGAGTATATACCTTGTATCTGTTTATATTATCGTTTTCGTGACATAGATAAAAAAACACCAAATCTCTTCAAAAATCGCCACGGGATGTCGTGTATGCTGCATCGCAGCACACGCACTGCATCTACACCCACTGCGACATCCTGACTGCTACTGCGTACCCATTCATGGACAGTCCAATTTCTGACTTTTCCCAATAACCACGTGACCACAATAACCACAGAAAGTGATATGTCATTAGAAAACCCAAGTGAAAACAGAACCGACATGTCACGGCGAACACAATCGGCAAAAAGACAAGATTTGCTACACGAAGATACACGTACAGTTTAAGCGGCTAATTTTATCTATCGGTAGAAAGAAACCTTTAGGTAACAAAATACTACATGGAGTGTCTAAATGTTGATTAGTTGTGTCCTAAACAACACCATGAGACTAAATAAAAAGTGGGAAATAATCACTACAATGTCACCTCAGCAAAGCCACGCGGCTGCGGCTCACTGTGGTGAGCACGTGTTTGTGATCGCTCTGCATGGACGGTCCAGTGCATGTCTGCACTCTGTGAGATCGCTAAACTAGTGGTGTCCAGGATGGCTGGCTGATCGCAATCGCAGCGTGGCGGCCTTGTGATGCGGTTTCATATGTGATGATTTCCAAAGAATCTAATTTTCCAAGGTCAAGAGTGCTGTAACCACAATCATTTCACATGCTGTATATGGTTCTCGGGGCCGAAAATCGTGAGCGTTATATCCAGAAAAGCGTTGTAAACGGGAGCGCTATAACCACATAAAATGTACGCAGTAAATGGGGGTGCAGTTGGGGAAATGAAAATAGAGTGGCTATCGATAAGAACGTTATATAAGGGAGCGCCATAATGGGAATTTACTGTAATGTAAATGACAACATCACAATTACATCTCAAACAAAAACTTTGTAAGACCAACTTGGGTAAAAACTGAGCAGTTCACATTTCAAGGCTGATGCAATGGGATATCTGAAACAACTTGCTTACTCACTGGTATGACAAAATCCTTGTATCGCTTGTAGATTTTTTCCCTCTTTTCCGGGTCATTCGGGTACACCTTCTCTTTCTCTGCCAGTCTAAGCAGCATGTGTCTCTTGAGGGTCATACCCAACATTGAATTCAGTACCTCTGGGGGAGTCTAGATACCAGATGCAAAACATTAAAAAAAAATGTCTGACAATGCTCAGGTTTTCCAAATTTCCATTTCCAACAGATTTTTCATATTGCAAAACTGGTGTTTGTAATAGATGGGTATAAAACAGTTCTTCCAGCTGTTAAAGATAGAGCTCATTTCAAGGTGAAAACCAATTGAAAGGAATTATGAATCTGGCTCTCTTAGATCCTCAAGAACAGAGTTGGGGTTTCAATCGAAGAATGCAGGTGAACAAAAATTCTGAGGCAAAAATGCTAGATAATTACAAACTAGCTCTCTGTGTAGCCTTTGGTACCAAATCTGGGGCAAGCTATTGAGAATGAGGCCAGATGAAACGGATAGCAGAGTCCGTCCTGTCCATGCACTTTTTACCAAGATAACCCAATTCAAAGCCACAAATTCCTGTGTGTTAGGCTGTACCTAAATCACCTGTTGTGTGGCTATTGCTTAGCTTTTGACATAGACATGCTAAGACATATATAACTAGCCAGGGACCATAATGTCCATTTCAGAAAGCTGCTTGCTGGGCACAGTTCATTGAAAGCCTCCGACAGTTCCACGTCTTTGAAATACCAAGCTGACTGATTGTTCCCGCAGAAGTGTATCAGCTATACCAATGAAGATCAAGACCACATCACAACAAAACAGAACCCATGTACCTACAGGAGGTAACCAAGATTGTAAAAGTGAAACCCATGCACCTATAGGGGGTGCCGTGAGTTCTCCTTTTATCTCATGCCAACACCATTCCCTAAAGCCTTGGCACCATACCTTGAGAATGTAGAAGTCGAAGCCATAGACCTCATCAATGAGGTCCAGCGTTCTCAGGGTGACAGTGATGGTGAAAGTGCGGTCCAAGATCTCGCTGTAAAATTCCTTCTTCAGCAAAAAGGGCTTCCAACATTTCTTAATCCTAAGTGAAAAAAAAAAGATTAAAAGGAAATGTTAATAGCATACTGCCAATTCTAATAACTCTCGCAAAAACTTTGATGAAATTGTTTTTGCAGGACCAACCACAAGCACCAGGTGAAAATTGACAAAGGAATGTTTCTGTTACAATTTGGTTCATTTGAAGAGCTTGTAATCAGAATACAGACTGGAGGTCTTGTGATCTGGCCTTTGGGTCTCAACTACAGCACTGGCATGGCAGGGCATTTATACCTGACTCCCTTGGTTATGTTGGACTTGCGGAAGCCGTACACGTATCCCTCTCCACTCCACAGACCCAGTTGGCTGTCCTTGGGGTGGACAACCTTCAGTGGTACCCTGTTGTTGCGTACTCTCTCCCCTGTCACTGGGTGTTTCCTCCAGTCACCTGAAAAAATACAACCAAGGTGCATTTGCTGGCTGAATTGTAATAAACCATCAAATCTGGCACTATCCTATTTTTGCAAATCAAATTCCTAAGTTTAACTTATGGGGATTTTACAACAATTTTTCACTAGTAAGTTCTTAGGTTTCAAAAAGTGGTAAATCCTGCATTTTTTTTGCCATCAATGCTAAATTTCTGATGTTTCATGATAGGGGTATTGATCAAACGTCACATTTTACAAAGTCCCTGATTGTATACACATGGTTTCCTGTTAGGGCTAGCACAAACTGACCAATACATTGCTATCTTCAGTGTGAAGCAGCTGTTACATAAGCATTTGCATTCTCTTACTTCCGGGATCATTCCAGTAAAGTGCTGGAGGCTTTGCACCTGGTTGTTTTTTCCATTTGAAATAGGCTGGTGGGAGTCGGGATGCCAATCCTTCACTATAAAAACCCTGTCCAAAAATGAGAACAAAATGATAATCGCAATCTATTGTTACAATAGTTTAAGGAATAAAAAAATTGAGAGCAGTGCTTCATACTTTGGAAATTCATGAAAATTAGCTTAAGCCAATCAAGCCCCAACGTCCATGACGTTGTGAAAAAGCAGACATCATATCATAATCACAGAGTACAGCAACACTTTTTATTACAGATAAAAAAGTAACCATTCTTTCAAACCAGAAATGAATTTGTTAACAAGGGGGAATTTAATTCTTTAAATTGGTAGGCCCTATAAGAAAATAATGCAGGACCAGATCATTGCAAAATATATCATTTTGTAAATTTTCTTGTCAATCGAATATTTTGAAATATGAGTCTGGAACAAAGTTTCTTAGGAAATACTTCAAAATTGGACTAAAATCTCCACAGACTCTGTACACACCAACAAACAATGACAAAGTGGAGTCTGGACAGCTGGATTGTTTCTGCTCTGAGCGGAACAAAAGAGGGCTTTTTTTTACAGAAATGGTAGGGCCTAGATTTTCTTTTTAAAATGTTTAAGCCATCCAAAATTAGGAAAAATCCAAAACTAGGAAAACGACAGTACTAGTAATGGGCCCAAGTATTGAAGTATCAGTACTTAGGCCGTCATGTGTCGGAAATAAATGCATAACGGTGTATTGGCACGCATAAATGATCGGGATCAGGTCAACTTGGACCCAAACCAACTCGGACCCATTCCAACTCAGACCCAGGACTAACTCGGACCCACGCCAACTTGGACCCAATACTAACTCGGACCCACGACCATCTCGGACCCACAACCAACTCGGACCCACGTCAACTCGGACCCACGCCAACTTGGGCACATCTCGAGTCAACTCGGACCCACTGCGTCTTATGGGTTATGGTTGCACTACACCAAAGGGGTCCAGATAACTCGACCATTTGCCAACTCGACTTCGGACAACTCGAGGTCGAGTTGTCTTAAAGGTCGAGTTGTCTTAACTGTCGAGTTGTCCAAAGTCGAGTTGGCAAACGGTCGAGTTGTCTGACATCCACACCAAATATGAGCCTGTAGACCGAAATAGCGCCGACTCTTGAACCTCGCGAAGAGGCCTTCATTTTTTTTGCTGGAAATTCAAGATTATGGCCAGATCGATCACTTTTCATTTCAATTTTATGAACTTTTTTAATTTGCCTTTTTCCGAAGATACCCCCCTAATAGTAAAACTATCATCCCTCGAGATTATGGCTCCTCTTATTGTAAAATACCGTGGGATAAAAAAATATTAATAATGAGCTCGCGAGCAAACACACAATGCTTCAAAACCATCTCCAAGTTTAAGACAATAGAAAATATTCCACATTTTTATTTACCTAATGATTTGATTTGGGTTGGACTCAGGGTGGGTCCGAGTTGGTCGTAGGTCCTAGTTAGTATTGGGTCCGAGTTGGTTGTGGGTCCGAGTTGGTCGTGAGTCCGGGTTAGTATTGGGTCCAAGTTGGCATGGGTCCGAGTTGGTCGTGGGTCCGAGTTGGCATGGGTCCGAGTTGGTTTGGGTCCGAGATGACTCGAAACCAAATGATCTTGTACGCCATGAGCCGTTTTCAAATACTCAACTTCGGCTCCGTCCCAGGCTTCAACTGTTGTTAAAATAGCTGCTTTTGAAGCTGTAAGCGCAGTAATTAGTCTGATAGTGCCACAAAACATAAAATAAGATGTAAGAGAGCCAAAAATTACAGTAATCCAATTTAATTTAATCGCTTCAGGCCCACAATCGGGGATTGGTATTTGGAACGAAGCCTGAGACAGAGGCATCCCGTATCAAATTACTTCAGACATGTTAGAACCGCAATGCAACCTTTTTGGCTTACCGGCCTTTTCTTTTTGTCGAATATTATTTTCTCTGGTTTAGGTGCCTTTTCCAGATTTTTAGCAATAACGTTCAGTTTGTTGGAGATGTTTGCAGTTACTGACCGCACTGACGCCATTTTCATTCACAAAGCGTTAAATAAATGACATGGCGTAAAAGGAGATTAGGACATCTAATACAAAAAAAGACACGACGAGGGCATCCGATTATCCCTTTACGGGATATGTTTTACAATGTACAGAAAACTCTGTGTGGCTCATGTTAAAGCTACTGCCATTAGCTAATTAAAGTCTAATGTTTTCATAAATACATTCTTTGTATAATTGACAACCTATTAATATACTCAGTTCCGATAATATTTTGTGCAAAATTGAATAAACAATATAACAATGTTTCCAATATACTTTAAAATTAGCTAAACACGTAGAAACAAAATAAAAATGAATTAACCTTTTAGCCAATCAGATCAATGATCGAATAAAAGCACGAGAATCGTATCCGGACGACACTGTCAACAACTGAACTAGAGCTTGAGCGAGTGGAGGATTGTGAGATTCGTTTGAAACTTTTCTCTGGCGAATTCAAGATGTTCACCAACAGCAAAGATGTTTACAGCAAAACCTATTCTCAATTTAGATTGGCATAGTTGCAGTGTTTGTGGCCAAACCCCCAAAACAGCCACTGACGGCGGGAAGAGCCAAGAGCTTCATATCATTCCTGTCGAACTCTTGCGCGCAGACCCTACCTGCATGACCTGACAAGTAAGTAGGCTTAGGTTCAGTATTCTGAAAGAAAATCTTTAAACTAAGGCCTAAACGCTTTCATATTTTTCCTACTAAATTTGACTTCCTAAGAGATAATCTCGATTTCTGTCAATGCGGGGAACAATAAGTGATATATGTGTGCCTCCCCCTGAACCCCAGAGTATAGGACATGCGTAGCCCATGATTCTTCCTGGAACAGGTTTAACATTGTTTCAAAATAAGGGTAAAGTTGATGATATATTTTTGACACCCCTCGAAAGTTGCAGTTGCCTGATGTGGAATTCTCCCTTCTCCTATTTTTGTACTGTCAGACGTGCAAGGGACTTATTACTGAACATGCTGAAGGACATTTCAAGGTGTAAAAATGTTAAGACGGAACTTTTTATAAAATTCAAACATTTTGCCCAATCTTGGCCACAAAGGACTTAAGTCTATTCATTATGGACCATGTGTCATGTACATGTATTTGCAGAATCATGTCTTACTGGATATATTGATAATTCAAATTATAATATGAAGGTATGATTTCTTGGGATAGGTGCCATAGCATAATGGTTTCAGTGAGATAAATGATTCAAAGTCACGGTCAGCTGTTTAGTCACATACAGAAGTGGGCAAAACTTCAGAGGGTGCATACTTTTTACTTCTGTTAGGTATAAGTACTCCAAGTTTTTACAAACTTTATAAGTTCAGAAGCTGATACTTTGATGACTGGAAGGAATGTATGTTTAATCTTCTTTAGAACTCCAAGCTCCATCTGAAGAGTCCCAGTGGTACTGGTAGCTGTAAGTGACACTTGGATGCCTTTTGTGTAACGCTGGAAACAATGGCTGAGGAGTAAGTGATATAGGAACAATAGAATCTACGTAACATCCGCTCAGATACATAGCAGTTGTAGTCGATCAATTTTAAGGTTGATGGTAGCTTTTGGATAAAACTGTGGAATCTACAGTATCTCTTCTTTGAAGAAATGTGATTCTTTTATCATAACACCATGCAAATCTTTGAGTCATACATAAGAACAACTTTAATGGTGGCCTAGAATGTATCTGAACTTGTGTCTATTGCTTAAAAAGTTTGGATTTTGTTACTTGAATGCCAAGGCAAAACTCGAAGCACTAGACAACTACGTGTACGTGTCCCTTTTTCTGGCATAGTCTGATTCAAATAGCCCTGCATTCCATAGTTGTATCTTTTTCCTTAATGTTTTGAAGATGGTGTTTTTATAATTTATTTTTTCTTAAATGATATTCCGTACTTTTAAACCCATACAGTTATACCTTTGCGTATATATTTATGCAACCTATTCCATTTTTCAGTTTTGTGCATGTTTTTGTGATACATATTTGATGTGTGCTTTTATTGTCATGTGAATGAACACATTTCTGGGTGTTATTTCTGGTCCAACTAGCACTGCAGCTTTGACAATGTGCATTGTAACTTCAAGAAAGTTGCCAAATTGGTTTGGTTTAAAGTTGACACCTAACCACAAAACAGGGCTCTTATCTCCATGAGGCCATAGCATTGTGATTTTAACCCTTTCAGATTTCCTAGACATGGTTAAAATCCAATGTGCAAGCCTATTTGATTTTTATTGTCACGTGTAAGCTAAGTGTCACAGTGACATATCTCTGCACATTTGGAGAGCTTCGAAGAATGCCATCAGACATCGGTTCATATTGGCCTCCAACATGCCAATAAATAAGAAATATATTGCTTTCTAACTTCATTTCAGCCGCGGTGCATTTCGGACCGGCTTCCGCCGGGCAGAACTCCTCCGTGTGCAGAAGGAGATTGAAAACATTAAGAAAAGATCCCAGAAAGAGGTGGGGCTTACCAAAGAACAGCTGAAGGAGGCAGAAGAGAGCAAACAACATGTGATTATCAGGTACCAAGCTGTAAAAGGACAGAACCAAGTGACTGTTTCACTGGGTTTGATTCCTGGATGGAAGAAAAAAAGAGTCCTAAAAATAAAAATTTTCTGCACTGAACAGTTTAGAGACTGATACTTGTAATGTGAATCAAGGTAATTTTGGCACGAGCTAGGGCTCTGTACTTCTGTTGGGCTATTTTGGTTCTAGTATGGTTTAGTTTTCTCTGTTCAATCAAAGTCGACTAGGTGATTAAAGTCCGGCCCTTTTGATTTCTGTTCGCAGTTGATTAATATTTGATAACTAATGATTTAACCTCTAAGTTCAACAAGCAAAGGAGATGGATAGTATGGAAGGTACTGCAATGGAAAAAGTACTTTGATAACACATGCACTTTTCAATAACTTCAGGGAGCATCTCTAAACTCAGCAATTGTAACATCCCTTTGGAATATTACCTGATTTGTGCACCACATTCCATTAGGAGGATCCTTAATGGAGTGAAAGTGTTCACATGTTTTGACTTACACCCTCACCAGCGTTGTAGTTGAGTCCATCTCAAGTCTGTTTGCAAGTCTTGGCACAAGTCCTTTCACAAGACCAATCATGAATGTGAGTAGGGTGAGCAGTGATGAAGGCATGCTTTGGTTTGCTCACAGTTCATTGAATGGCTGGGTTACTTGGCTTGAGACTTGATGACTTACGATGGAATTGCAGAGACTTGTGATGATGGACTTTACTACGACACTGTCCCCTTTACCAATTCTTGATATTAATATCTTTAAAAAAGAGTGAAAAAAAGAAAGAAAATCCCCAAACTAAAAGGCTTGCATTGTGCAGGTAGTAAATGTGAATTTGTAATGAAAATCCTTGGTGCCAGTTAAAGTTGAGTTTGTAACCTAGAATGTTACTAATTGTTTTTGTTCTTTGTTTTTGTTTGTTTGTTGCTTTAATTTGCAGCATTAACCATTGGTGGCTTTTTTTTATCTTTTACTTTTTGTATGCATGCATGCCTCACCTGCAGCAACAAGGTCAAGAATGTGTATGTAGTATCAACTCAATCCTTGTGTGATCTGTTTGTTTCAAATTAATGTCTGTTCCACTTGAGGTCTACTGTCATAAAAAAAGTGACAGCAGAGCTTGAAAGTGCTGCTCCCTCACCCTCCCAAGGCTCTGGTAAAACCCAGACTTTTTGACAACTTTGAAAGAGTTTTGACAACTCTGAATGAGTTTTGACAACTTTGAATGAGTTTTGACAACTTTGAATGAGTTTTGCAACTTTGAATGAGTTTTGACAACTTTGAATGAGTTTTGACAATTTTGATGCTGAAGAGTCTATAGCTGTGATTCAGTTTGGAGGTTTAATGCCTGTTGATTTATCTAGGGGGTGGGAGAGGAAAACACCTGCCATTTGGTATCTGCACGTAGTGGACCTTTGGCGGATTCATCAGTGTGTTATTGATAAATTGCCATGGATTGCTAATCATAACTAAAGACTATAACCAATGCATGGGACAGTTTTGTAGTTGAGTCTATCACCTGTCCCTTCTTAAGTCTGGGCACAAGTCTTTTCACAAACTCATGTAAGGTGATGAACCAGACGAGAGACTGCCTTGGCTGCAGTTCATTTGAATAGCTTGTGACTCAGCTTAAGACTTGTACACGTGATGGATTTGTAATGGACATGCAGGGACTTGTGATGAACTCAAATGCAGCAATTAAATGCACGCTCTTGCCTAATAGTTTGCTAGGCTGTGCTGGCACTAACATCTTTTTCCAAATGAATGAAACTAGTTTTACCCCTGAAATTAAAACAGAAATCTGCAGTTATAACAGCTGAGGGTATCTTCAATTGAATTTAAAATTTAAAGAACCCTGACTTCAGTTATTTTCCATTTTCCCATCAATACAGTCCTTTCTGTATTTGAAATACACTAATGATTCATAAATAATTTGTTTTCAATTTAGAGAACTGGCTCTAGATTTTGGCAAGAAAGGCATGCCATACGTTCGGAAGACAGAGCCTCATTTTGAGGAATCTTTCATCAGTAAGCCTGTGCCAGTACAAAAGCAAGTGAGTTTGTGCACATTCACTTGAAAGTTGGTTGCTTGTACCCAAATGTGAATAAATGTGTAAAACAGTGCAAACACACATTGCATCCTTTATTAAATCTTGTAGGAGTACATATATTTCACATAACTACCAACTTCAGCTCCATGTACACTTTACATTGTTGATATTGATGGAGTCATTGACGTGGGCAAAGGTATGATTCACCTTTACTTAAGATTAGTAAGGAAGTACTTGGCTGGTCTTAAACATGCGTTTAAGACGGGCTCAGGAGAACAGATGTGAATTAATGATTTAAGACCAGTTGAACACATATTCATTCCCATTCATAAATACTTTTTTATTTGGAGAGTCAAAAGAGGTCAGCGTATGATGGATTTCCAACAATTTTGTTTTAATATTTTACTTTCATTTTCCCAAATTTTTGAAAGTTGTCCATAGAATGCCCTTCAGTGAACTTGGCATGCGCGTGGTGCATCATGTGCACACAGACTCCTGACCAGTCAGACCCAATGAAACTGTCTCATCTCCACGTGCCAGGATGTGATTAATGCAGTGGGCATTATCACTTCTCAGCAAGCATTATCAAATGTTAATACATGGTCACATTACGGGTTTTGACCAATGGGAACAGGAAAACTTTTTCCAGGTATTTATGAATTCCCTTTAATTAACGTCATCCTGTTGTCTTTTATGCACAACAAGAAATGAATGTCCCAGTAATTCATTCTTTTTTTAAATTTTTTTTAGGAACCAGGAAGTGTACCCCCTTACAATGCCTTGGATAAAGAATACACTATGCCACCAGAAGGAAAGACAAAGAAATTTCCCTACAGTAAGGAAGAAACTATTACAACTGAGGGTAAGTTTGGCCTGAAATAAATATCAGTCCCAACTTGTCTTACATTTTGGCTGGGGAGCTTCTTGGTGAACACACACAAATTGCTGTAAACCAGTGGTACGTCCGAAAACCAACACTTTGGCCATTAAAATGTAAAATAATAGTTGCTGGGCTGTAGGAACCAGGGAGAATAAAAATGCTACAAAACTCGTTTTTGGGAGAGGACTTTGACATTAATTACAACGAGACCTTTTTCCTTCACCACAGTCATTCGAAATGAACAACCCATTTTGTGCTTCTCGTTAATCTTCCTTCCTTCAGAAATGCATATTCCCCACGTGCAGACCCTTGGTGTTGTCCCATCACGAAGCACCAAGGAGATCGAGACTCTGCAGTTCAGGATGCAAGGCAAGCCAGCCATGGCTAAGCCAGACTCAGAGATCAAAGCCATCGAGCAGGTCAGTGGAGTGTAGTCATTGTAGACTTACCTGTTGTGCTTCTCCTTTGAACTTTTATTACTTTTCATTTAAAGGAGAGTATAATTAGAATAAAATCAGTTTGTTTTATTTTGTCCGAGCCCAGAATATGGGGGATTTCTGGGTTCTTTACATATTTCCTGTGATTTGGAATACTGATTTTTCATCCGACGTCCAAATTTGAGACAAAGAAAGTACTTTTTGTCAGGAAATTCTGTTTTACTGTAGAACTGTTTATTTTGTAAGTTGTCTTTCCCAGAACTTTCTGTTTCAATTTTTTTCTTTCTCCTTCAACCCACAGAGAGTACTGAAATCCTATTTCTTTATTTTTTAAGAGTTTTCAATTTTTGAAAGCTTTTTGTTTAATTCCAGGATTGACCATTTCTTACCCTTATTTTTGAGAGCACATTACATATGGCTCCGTGTGTAAACGAGTGCACCTGTAATGTTGATATTTTCACTAAGATTGTTGATGTTAAGATCACACATTAATGTGAAGGTTTGTCTGTGGTTTAGTATTTGGTACATGTACATTCACAGTGTCATGTGGTCATCTTTGCGAATGTTCTATAGAAGATGCTGTGGTGAGGCGATTTAATATGTGCCCTGGCACTGTCTAGATTAGGAGTTAGTCTGATTCAAGAATTAACAGCATACAGCAATACAATTGTATTGATACTATTCACTTCCAGGCCAATCTAGACACCTACCAAGAGCCGACCCTTTCCGTCACTGCCAGATCTGAATCAGCTGCTGACTCTGCCAAACTGAAGCCAGCCGAGGGCGACCTAGCCCAACAGCTGGCAGGGAAGCCATCCAAGCCTGCCATTGTTGCGATGGCGGGCACTTTGGCCCCCGTGAAGTTCTCCCAGAGGGCCAAGCCACCTGCCAGACCCACATCGGGGGCCAAGACGCCCGACGCCCCAAGAAGAAAGATTAAAAGTAAGGGGATTGAAGCGGAAGTCTCAAAAACTCGTAACACTTGAAAAATGTAATTCAACGATGGAGGACATTTCTCTGCAATGCATGTTATAATGTAGGGTACACCCATATATATCACAGAGACAGGGTCTCATTTTTTTTAAACTGTGTATTTAAAACTCAATGCGACAAAAAAATTCACAGTTTTGGGGGTCCAGCAGACTCATAAAGAACAACAACAGCTGCCCTCAATGACGATGGTTGAACAGATGATGACTTGGCTTAATAATCCAGCCTGGGAAACAAGGTTTGGAAAGTCATTTTCAGTATTAGTCGGATGGCAAGAATCATGTTTATTTTGGTTAAGTGTGTTTTCAGTTACACATAAGCCAAAATTTGACACAAATATCCTCCATCGTTGTGAGAAATGTTTGCCTTTGAATGCTGCCTTTGGCTGAAATTCACATAGCCACCAAGCAGAAAACATTACTTAGCAGAGTTTAGTGCTGAGCAAAGAGTGTGGAATGCCAGTCTGAAGGGAAACATTTTGCATGGTAATTTGGCTGGTAACCCATTCTTGCTAATCACCTGTCGTCTGTGCCTAGCAGCTCCATGGCCGCCTAGTTGAATTCAAGTCTGAAAAGTTTTGGCTTTGGCTAGCCATTGTGTATTTGTGTATTGGAAATACATTCTAACAGCTAGGTGGTGACTTCCATAGACTTGCTTGTTATTGCCATCCATAGCCATAGCCATCTGGATGTAGCCCATGTTACCAGATTTAAATCTCTGAATCTTATCAACTTTGGACAGAACAAGTCAAGAGCAGCAAGAAGAGCTCCAAGAAGGCCCGCTCGGAGATGACAACCCCCTGGGATGACCTGGACTCTGAAGACTCGCCTACTTACCTGAGTGACGATAGCGAAGACCTCAGCAGGAGCAGGTCTGGTTCCAAAACCTCGTACCACAGGAAAGGAAGGTCCATGCGGCATGGGTCGGCAGGGTCCAGTGGCTCTCATAAGTCGGCAAGTGAACTGCTGGCAGAGGCTCAGGACATTGTTGGACCCGATAGCTTACCAGTCTTCAAGTATGTAAAAAAATCATCATTCCGTAAAAAGCATATTCTGAAATTGTGCCAAGTGTATGCACTAAAATGAAACTTGAAAAATTGAAAACTTGAAAAATTGCCTTGAAAAATCTTTATTGCAGGGGAAGTTTAAGTTGTAAGAAAATCTAAGGCATACTTCTGCTCGTTGGCTTAAGTTTCAACTTGCTTTTACAGACCGCAATTAGGACAATAGAACTAGTCATAAGAAACTATCTTTTCATTTAATTCAGCAGTATTTATTTGAGACCATGCTGTATTGGCATACCCCTTATACTTATGATATGCTGACTGACCAACCACTGTCAGTGCATCGTACTCATTGACTTTTCAGAACAGGTTTGCCAAACACCTACAGGATGTCTGCCTGTCTCGGGCATTTTTGTTGTTTGCCATCTATGTTCATGAAACCAGGGCAGACAGGCCTTTATGACTTTAACTGCTGTTCGGTCAGATGTGTTTTCATTAGATTGACTGACTGAACCATTGCAGTAAATTACAGCCTGAAGAAGTTCAGGTGTGAGGTGTAAGAACTAATTGTAGAGAAAAAATAGAGTTTTCTAACTTTGCATCTTTGACCTGCTTTTGATGGCCTCTCATTTGCACCTTCTCATCAACCATTGCCCTTCTGTTTCCCCTCCCCCCCTCGTGATTGACAGGAGGAGACAACAAGCCAAGCAGGAGAAAGCTTTCGAGAAGAGAGGCTCCAAATTAAAGGTGGCAGAGACAGAGAAGGAGGACACGCCCAAGGAGCGATCAGTGGATGACATCATATCCTCCCTCAAAGCAGCCAGGGAGACAGGGTTAGTCTTGGTTTTTTCCTTTGCTGTTGTAGTCAATATGTTTTAGATTTCAAAAACAGGAGTAAATGAATATGACCAAGTAAAAAAATAAAATACTTCCTTGTCCCCCATCTCTAATTAAAAAAAAGAAAAAGTTTTTCCTTAGATTTGAAATGTAGATTTGACTTTTTTTGACTTTTAGTTTTGACTTTCTCTCACAGTATATGGAACTATAAATGTCAGTCGTAAACCGTCGTAAACCTGTTAAATGCGGTTAAAGTTTTTTCATCTTCAAACAAAAATATCAGCAATAGCCTATGTAATAAAGAATAAAGGAAAAAAAAGCCCCCACCCCATTTAAAAGAACATACCAAGACAAACCTTGGTTTGCTTTACACGGCCTACTGAACTGAGGGAATGAATGATGAACCTATATTTCAGCGAGTGTCTCACTGCCCGACAAATGGCCCCATTATACTTGAACATTGTGATCATACAAGAGATCAAAATGTACTTATTAATTACTGGAACACTAATCAACTTTTTTTTCCTACTTACAGAGGAGTAAAATCAGAAGCCGACATCAAGATCCAGCAGATAATGCAGCGGGTCCTGTCACGCACAGCGGCAGTGCTGGAAACAGAGCAACAGGTCCCAGAAGGGATGGAGCAAGAGGAGGGGGAGGAGGAGCTAGACGGTGCCGAGGGGGAGGCTGACGTCAGTGAACAAGACAGCAAAACTGGTATTTGTCTGAAGTGAATTTTTAAAAATCTTTTTTGCTTAAGATTAACTTTTTTTTCAGGACTTTCAGAAATCGGATGTCGCAAGGGAAAAAGAGATCTCTTAAAAGTAGGATACATTTTCTACAGTGTGCAAAACTGTTATTGACCAAAAATTTTGGAGTCTGTTCAGACTTGATACCATTATGAATGAATAATTTAAGCTTGGCTTGTTTAACCTTAAAATGTGGCCTTTGATGGTACATTGGTGAAGTCTGATTGTAGAGATGAATGTTGGCTTTTTTCTAAAGATATTAAAGACAGTGTGCCAGTCATCACAGTCCTAGAGAGTACCAGCCAGGCATCTTTTGGGACGTCGGATCAGGATGCTGTCTCTGTCAAAGTGGAAGATGCCAGCAAAATTCAAGTAGGTGGTCGTAATTGATTTCTGAAACATTAACAAAGATCTCTGAAGAGAGTCGAGATACACCTTTCATCTCTTCACAGATTGGTTTCATTGCCCAACTGCCATTTTACTTTCCGTTTCTTAACTGATTCCTCTGAAATGTCATTTCCTACAGTGACTGACTCCGAGATTATACATTCCTTCACCTCTTTCTTCAAGTTTCTTCAGACTGAATTGTAGCATGTTAATTATGTACAGTTTTTGAGGAACCTTTATTTTTAGTCTGTGAAATTAACTGAAGATGTAAAGCATGATAGAGTGTCTGATATGTTTGAAAAGGTTTTTGTGAAATACCTAAAGCAATTTTAAATTGTTAATACTCTGATTTTCCCCAGGCTAGCACCGAGTCCCTTCCCAAAGCAGATGCTGACAGACTCGCGACGTCCGACTCGAGGATCACGCAAGATGCAGTAGGGGCAGAGCAAGCCACCGACGGACACAAGGAAGTCGGCTTCAAGCCGTCTGTGGTGTTCCAAGAGGAACCCACAGAGATCAAGTGGGAGGAAGAGATGGACCTACAGCAGGCTTGGATGGTAAGAGGACAACTCCAGACAGCATCTATGAAGATGATTTGCTTCCAAAACGTGTTGGGCAAATAAGCATGACTCTGAATGTAGCGATAAAAGATTATCCTATTTTGAACTCACTTCTGTAAAGCAGATTTTCTACCTTTCACTGGGTTTGCGGAATGCTTTTTGGTCAGCAATGAAGAGGGATGCAGCATAGCAAACTAATTTGCATTACTTCCATTATTGTATTTGGCATTTGCTTACAGAAAGTGAGCTTAGAGTCTTATAAATCAATTAGGGCTGTGCTGAAAATTCAGATATTGGATTAAGCATTCAATATTTGAAGTTCCTTTTCAGAATTGAATATGGAGGCTGTGCGTGGTGGCCATCTTGCAAAAGCAGTTCTTCTGTTCTACAGGGAATCCGCCTTTGTGCATACCCTGTGGAACAAAAGCACCGGCCTGTAAGATGGCAGCAGTGAAAGCCCTCTACACAGAGGTCAAATGCACTGAAAATAAAATTGGCAAAACGCTTGTTTTTGATAACAAAACTGCACTCCTCAACCATCAAAGGCAATTTGGCAGGGAATTGAACTTGAGACCAACAGTAGGCAAGTCCAGTGCCTGACCCTCTTTTTTTTCCCTTCCTAGGACCTGCAAGTGCCTCTGGATGTCACCTATGAGGAGATCATGAATGTCGAGGGGGAACCTCAGCCCTTGGTTCCCAGGAGAGATGTCAGGGAAACTGCCAGGGACCCTGGGGCCAGGCCCACTGTCCAGAGCTCCTCGGTGTCCTTCCTCTCCAGCTGTGCACCTCAGGAGAAAGTGCCAAGGGAGGAGGTAATTACAGACCAGTCCGCTAGTTGAGTACTTCGCAAGTACTTCATTTATAATCTCATCACAGATACTGTAACAAGTACTGTAACTACTAAACGTGGGCATTGACATTGATCAAAGGTTGGAAATTAAAGAGATATCTCCTCCCCCCTAACTTTTGAAAGTGGGGGATATGATGTTGATTAATTGTTCCCCACCCCTCTCTCTTGTTGCTGCATAAGAAATGTAGGCTTAGATTTTACAGCTTGTAATAGCTGAGTTAAATGCCTCCCAATTTGAAAACCAAGCCCAAATGATGATTGTAGTGTCCACGGAGCATCTAGAATCCAAAATTTTCTGGGGCCCCTATGAGGTTGGCCCCAAATTCCATGTTGTTAACTGCTCGCTCTGAGCATTGCGTTCACGTAGGTTTGCTCTAGGTACTGTTATGGACCTTTACTGTCGTCCGAGCAGTTTATTATTACTCGTGGGCTTTCTCTTGGGGATAGCACCGATCCATCATTTGATAGCGTGGCGACAGTGCTCATCCCGCATAAAGTCGAGTGTAAATGTACATGCCAATATTACTAAACACTATTTCAGTAAGAGAGAGACGCAGGAAACGTCTTCAAGTCCAAACAGTTCTCCCTTTATTAAATTCAACACAACCTTTAAACCAGGGGACGTATCCCGAGTAATGTTTAACCCCGCCCCTTAAAAGCGATTGGATAACTCGGCTGATACACTTACCCCTGGTTGGCTGAAAGTTTTGTGCCGTACACGTATGCGCCCGGTCACTGTACTGTACGTGTACCGCGTCACGCGTGGCCGCACCCATTTTCCAACGGTTGAAAAGTGCGCGACTTGCACTAAAAGAATATGCGCACTAATGGACGTCCCCGGCACTTCGCAAAGACTTTCTATAACCATTCTACAAGGACATAATGAACAAGGGATGAGCGTGTACAGCTGGGTCGTCACAGTATTATGCCCTCCCCCACTTTTCAGAAGTGACTTATGCCCGTGAATGTGGGTGCACAACAACAAAGGAATTTCTTGGTTACAGGCCATGCATGAGTAGCTTGTGGCTCACGTTAGCACTCATGCAGCAGTTGTGAGTACTTATGTAGTACTCGACTTCAGCACTGTAGGTGACTCTGTTCATGAAATGAGATGAGGCTGTTTGGCCTAATCATGAGATCTGAGGAAAGGTGTGTCACATGTGTGCACTGATTTGTGAATGTGAACAATTTCCATCGGGATGTGCACAAACCTAGAATGGCTCCTCAGTAGAATGAATGTTGGCATGAGCGGTGATAAAGTTCTTTTGTCTTGGTTGTTGCCCCTAGGGTGTAGTTTTGTGTGGCCTCGTCGTAGATTCATCGATCTATATTGCAGTAATCCAACTTCCATGGATAGTTTTGCTTGGCAGAATATATACATTTGTATCCTTGGAAATAATGATGGCTTATGATAGTGATAATAAGAAGACTTGTGCCTTTGACAGAGAATTCCAGATACTAGACCAGAAGGCTACCGCAACAGCATCCATCACTTCTGCACCATCCCAGCCCAGCTGCCCATCCCCGGTAGCCTGCAGCTAGCCACACGCATGTATCACACGCCCAGCAAGTACGCCGGTGTCGCAAAGCTAGCGCCCCCATCAGTCAAGGTCAGTCAGTCGACCTGGGCTGGAAGACAGCGGAGTTGGTTGCCAAAACTAGATTTTGCTTTCGAGATGTTGACAGAGATGTGTAACAGCTTGCGTATCTTTTATTCTTACATGAGATCTTTCAGACCTTTGTATGAAATCTGACCCTTTGAATCTAAAATCCTTGTGCATGTACAGCATTGAACAGTAATTCACATCGTAGCTCAGTTGTCAGATAGTAAATCATAAGTGTTGTCCAGTTTATATCTTTCTACAAAGGCAGTGGGTATTTAGCTGTCACTGGCAAGTTCAATTTAACGATATTCTGCTGCGTACATGCTCACTGACTGTTTTTTTTTTTACTTAGAAATTCTTACTGTGACAGATCTTAGTCTGATTCTGCACCAACAAAGTCATTTTAACTTGGTATTCATGAGGTGGTAATCAGACTTATTTCCCTTTGAAACTATCCCCCAGAGTCACGAGTCAGAAAAAGAAAATGTAATACCCTGTAATCAAATGTTGGAATCAATTTCAAAATAACAAAGAAAGAATATTCTTAATTTTGGTGAGCCCCAAGAATGAAGTTGGGAATTGAACCCCGTGGCTGGGTACCATGAGATGTGTGCGCTATCCACCAGTCCATTGAACCTCTGGTAATTTAGTGTGAAATTAGTTACCTTTATAGGATTACGCATGTATATGCATCAAAGAGGGTGCTGTCTGCTTGTTGCCAGCCAAATGCCTCTCAGTTACATTGGGCTAACTATCCAATGTCTTCCATGAATTGCCTCAGAGCTCACTGTTCAGTTTGGTAAAATCACTGATCATGCCACAGACCTATCTTGATATAAAAAGAATACAAACTTATTAAACAAGTGGTATAACTTGAGGGTTTGCCCTGAGGTACCTCACCAAACCCTGCTCAACTTTGCAAAACCTTGAGGTAAGCTTTGAGTTTAATACTGCCTGTGTGATTTTGCATCCCCCCCCCTCAAGTATGCACCACAAAGTGATATATCATGCTTTTAGAAGTCTCTTGTGTTCAAGGTCTGTTTGTGGTGTGTACCTTATCAAGGGGGCCAGTTGGTGGTGCAACTGGTGACATATGTTAAGTTCACCCTAAACTTTCTCCTACTTTGACTCTAAACCCTCCTTCTCGTGAAACAGGAAGCGAGCGTCTTTGAGCACTCCTACACCCAGACTCTGAGGTCTACCTCCTCTCGTAGCCAGAGCAGTCAGGCAGCGTCAGAGAGGACGACCCAGTATGCCATAGACCAACAGCAGCGACTGATGTCGGCTGCTGCCCAGCGAATCCTGAAGGAAGCCGAGGAGACTGCAGGGTCAGACACCCAGACTCTGGAGGCATGGGAGAAGAGGGCCCAGCAAGTGGTGAGTTCACTGACTATTTTGTAGTAAGGGACATATTCCAAATCCGGAGCTGCATCCAAATCTGTAGTCTAGAGCTAGATCTAGGTCTTCTCTTCACTGGTAATATGCAGAGACAGGCAGATCATAGACCTAGCCGTAGCTCTGGAAGACCATTTTGGACACGGCCTCAGCTTCATTTTCATCTACTTCTCTTCATCATGTTTTTGAGGAATGAAATTGGTCCCCCAAGTTACTCTGTGACACTCCATTTTCTTGCTAAGGAAACATTCAATAGGCTAATAAGAAGCAAATGTTGGGACAAGCTTTGGTTGATTCCAAAAAGTAAAGATTTGAAACCGATTGTGAGTGCAAGACGGAGCCCAGGTAAAGAGATAAATTTTGAAGAAGGCCAAGAATCCCTGCCTCAACTTGCTCCGGATGCCATCTTGACATTTTAGTCTTGATGACCTTGTGCAGGTCAAGTCAGTCTTCAACTTGCTAAACCTTTGCTGTCCACTGCATTTTGCCATCTGCAGACATAATGAATTGTGTAGTCCATGACGACCAGTAGAACTCCCTGGGCTGCCAGGCCATTGCTTGGCTTCATTCTTGTCACTAATGAAAGGTGGAACTTATCAATTCATTGGATTTAGACTGGCAAGGTTGAAGTCCATCAGTGGGGATCAGTCTAGAGCTTGATTGGCAAAATCTTGGACTCTGAAAACAAGTTCTTGCATGCAACTGTCTTTCCGCACAGTTTGATGATGAGGAGTTGGAGATTGCTGGCCAGCGGATGCCTCTTAGACAAGATCAGTCCCGCCTCTACTGGACCCCAGCTCCACCCAAGATGGACCTGCCCTCCGCCTATATCCGCAGCACCCTGTACCCGGAATTCCAAGGGGCCATTATGGAGGACGACAGCGACAAGCAGACGGTGGCAGCAGGGGACCGACTGGAGGAGGAAGGAGCCAGTGATGTGGGCATGGGCGGAGCTTTAGAGGAAGGAGAGGAGGAAGAGAAAAGTGATGCCCATAGGTAGGAAATTTGTTGGAGCTCTGGTAGCCCGTTTCAAAAGTGGCCTTGTCTCTGGGCATACTGGGGGTAGGTCTAAGTTTTGCCGGGTTGGATGTGGACACATGCCGACGGTAGTCATTGTCCCAGGTTTGGAAGCCTATTTTGGATACAGCCACTTTCTGCAGTAGAACATATATTGTATAAAGGATTGAGCTTGTCTAGTCCTATCACAAGTCCAGTGTCAAGTTCTATCACAAGTCCAGTGTCAAGTCCTATCACAAGTCCAGTCACAAGCTCAGTAACAAGTAAACAGGATGAACAATGACAAAAGAATGCATTTGTCAGTTCATTTGAACTTGTGACTTAAGCTTGTGACTTTAAACAAGACTTGAAAACTTGCGATGGACTTTGGGTAGGCTTGCAGGGACTGTTAGGACTCAACTACAGTCCCAAAATAAAACAAAGTCCTTCGCAGTGCAACTGATTTTTTTTCCCATTATCTACCGCATTTTTGCTGTCACCCATCAGACCCCTACAGCCTCAACACAGGTCCTGGGAAGACCTGACCAAGCTGGGCTGGCTCAAGAGAGAAGCAGCTGCCGTGGCCAAGACGCCTGGCCCAGCTGCGTCAAAGGAGGGCGACAGGGAGGCTTCGCCGAGCGAAGACGAGCCACAACAGGAAGGAGAAGCGATCATGCCTGTGACACCAGCAAGATCCAGCTCAGGTATGTAATGCAGTGTTGAAAGATGCCTAGTTTGTGTCTGTTTCTTTCAAGCTTCTGTGTCCCGAATTTCTAATATCGTGCACCTGATGATATTCCGTCATTTCAGAATACAGAACTTCATACTCTCTCAGTTTAGCCAGATGTGAGAATGGACTGATCATAGTCTGAGGTAGTAGATATCAAAATATAGTGTGTCCAAAACATGTTGGATGAGTTCACCCTCAGGTGGAGCATTATCATAAACTGCTGTAAGGGGAAGTTTTGGTGGCATTTTTTACCATGTATCGATGCCGAAGTGGAATCGTGTCATGAAACGAAACTTCAGGTGTGTGCATCTACTTTTAGTTGAGTGCGCACTTGCGCACACATCGTTTACACAGCCTCTGTGCGAGTTCGTAGGCCGTGTTCGAATCAACTTGCTGTGGCAAAGAGTAACACATACATCTATGGGAAGTGGCTGCAGCCATTAGCTAGTGGCTCTCCATAGGTGCAGGTATTGTTGCCAGCCATAGCCGTTACATTTAGACATCTCCTGTTAAAGCAAACGTCTGAGAAGAGTATGATTTTCATTTCTGCTGTGACCTTTTGCTGTGACCTTTGACATATTTGTTGTTTTTTTTGTGTCAGTTTGCATTTTTCTTTGCATGAATGCATGGCGTGAATTCTAATGCGCAATCAGTGTGTAAAAATGCTCCTCAGTAATTTTCAAAATGTGGAACCCGTGCTTGTTGATGAGTTCATCCAGTCAGAGTTTTAAAAAATATTTTCATGCATGTGCATCGGTGTGAATTTTTAATCACCAATTTGCATCAGAGAGCTTTTGTAACCATAAAAGGCAGTAACATTTGAAAAATAAATGCTGCTTGTTTAAAATTGAGTAATGCAGAAGTATAGTGAAAATTAATCATTCGTAGCCACAAAATATGGAATGGAATGTTTGTACCATGCACAAGTCCTGTTGAATCGTTTTTTTGAGCCACCATCTTCTACCATATCCAAAGTTCAGTCAGATGGGTCCTTTCTGTCAACATACCCAGTACACATTCAGTGAGAACTGAGTGCAAGATATTGCACAGCTCATACACCAGGAGTAACATTATATGATAAAACATAGGAAGTACCCAGTGGTACCTGGTAGTCTGCAGTGTTTATCATAGAGTGTACCCTTTGGTACCCAGTCACGCCCAGGATTCTGTACTGGTTTTCACAAGCAGCACCCATTCAGTGCCCAGTTCTGTTCTGCTCATGAGTAATACCCATGTGGTACTAGTTACTCAGTGCTTGTCAATGCATATTACGAGTAGTACCCACTGGTATCCAGTCACATCTTAAGCTCTCTACTGCTTTGTACAAGGTGTACCCACTTTCCTACCCAGTCTTTATATGAAATATAAAAAGGGTATTCATCTAGTACCCATTTTGTTATATGATGTATAATAAGGCTACCTATTTGGAACCCAGTAATTTTTTATACTGCTTACTATGATGTACCCATCAGGAGTAGGCAGAACTAAGAGAACCCAGGTAGACAAGATACCTTTCATCTCCAAATCACTCCCTGCACACATTGCACTGTTTTTCTCTGTTCTCTTCTCTTGTGTGCTACACCATTAATCCCCTAAATAGGTGTGCCCAGCCAGGCAACCGATGACACCATCAGTAATGCGCTCATACATGGTAAGTAACCACGCATTCACTCCTAACAAGTACTGACTTTAGCTGCACAGTGATGCTAGGCCGGTAAGTGCACATTGGGAAGAGAGATGGGCAATGTGGACTTTTTAAAATTGAGATCTCATGCAGTTATCAGCAGCTCACGGCATCTCTTGCATGAAAGGCGTTGTTTGATTGACGTTGAGGTTATGTTTTGTGTGTTTTTGCCATCTCCCGTGATTTTGAACAGTTGTGTTGTAATTTTACGGTGTGAATGAAGTCATCCGGTTTGTAGTAAATATTCCAGAATGCATTGTGCTGTGTAAAGTTTTGTAAAGAGACTCCCACAGGGAGTATCTTTCGGCCTTCGGATTACACTCTGAATATCAGCTCTTTGTGTTCATATCTCACATTACATATTCTCAATCCAAGTAAAGTAATACTCTCTTATACTTTCTTTCTCCCTTTCTTTCAGTCAACATACAGATTTCATCTCACTACTGACCACATGCAGTTTTTTGTTTCACAGTGAACAGTTTGCTTGGCATTAAATGGAACCTTAGCTACATTGGAACATTTCTAAACAGTGACCTTAACAGTAACCAAACAGACAGGGATATATGACCTCATATATTTACTTCTCAAGGGATTTTTCCCTCTCAATAAAGAACTATCTAGAAAGAATTTTATAAACTACCGTTAGGTTTGAATGACCTGTTAAATTAGCCAACACAGAAATCCTTGTTTCAATCCTAGGAGAACATCGAGGTTAAGAGATATGAAACAAACTGGAAAGCCAGATGCTCTCATTTTAAGAATTTGAGAAACAGGACACAAGAATCTCAGGGTTGTAAAAATTGTTTCTTTTTTATGCCATGATGTAACAGTGAAGTCCTACACAAGTGTGAGTGAATTGCGCCGCAAGTTCTCCCAGGTCACAACCTCCACCAAGGAGGAGCGAGAGTCGGAGGAGCAGGCGATAGTCATCGAGGTTGCTCACACCACCGATGCCATTGACACGCTGCCACCAGTGAGGTAGGCACTTTTATCTGGTAATCTGTATCAATGGTCAGTATAGTTTGCTCTGAAGGTGTCTGAATCAACTCAGCTCTGATGGACAAAGGAGTCTGTTGTGACCTCTCAGGCCTGCATTTATCTCCAGTTTCAGTCGTTGTAAACAACTCATCTTGAGAAAATTCTTCTTCCCCTCGGTCAAATCCATGACAAGTTGCTCCTAGCTAGTGCTGATAACCGTTTATACTCCTGGGGAGAGAGAGTAAAGTCGCGGTGAGGTAGTTATGGTTAAAAGACAATTACTGGAATGTCACATCAGGGCTTGCCCTTTATTTTTCTGAAAGTAGCTCGCCGGGCTAGTAAATTGTGATTTTTACTAGCCTGCAGAGATTTTTACTAGCCCATGAAATGTGTGAAAAAAATAACAATTAAAGCAGGTTTTTGACTTAAGAACGTTGTTGACTGTTGTTTATGGTTGGCTAGAAATCATTGTCGCTGGTAGGAATATTCTTCCTCCTCGCTGTCACATCATTAGTCTTGGTCCACCAAGACGTTTCTATCAACCGCTATCACGTTGGGTGATAGCGGTTCGTGGGTAGGCTGGTTCCCGTTCCCTACTCACTCACCAGGCATGATTGTCCAATGAGGAGTTTGCGATCAGTAGTACGATGAAGTCACTTACGAACCGGATTGCACCAGTCTATGGACGCAGTATCGGTTTTTGGTATCTGGTTCCCAGTACGAATTGTATGTTAATTATATTTGTCATGTATAGGGGTCACTGACTACTGGAGAAACTATCGTTGATGCGTTGATGTTAGGTACTAGGTACAATGTACACGTACATTGTCCCAGCGCACAATACAGGATTCAAGGTATGAACGTGTACGTATTTCAGCTAGCCCGCCGGGCAAGTCGGGAAGGGGTTTTTACTAGCCCGCAGCCGTTTTTACTAGCCATTGTACGCCGAGCTAGCGTTAAGTTCAAGCACTGCTCATGGTGCCATGAACCTGTGTGTTGTAGACCCTCGTGACAAAACTTGTTGCAGGTACTGATGGCTGCATAGAAGCGCATGCAAACGCAGTATGCTTCAATGACCCATGTTCTAGTGAAGATTGCAACTTTGTCAAAGAGGGCTTTGACCCTGACCTTTGGATAAACCTTCGTGTGAATCACAGTATTTGTGTTACTGAGGCAAGGCAATTGCCTCTCTCCACACAGGAGTATAAACAGGTATGTGTGCGGGTAGAAAGGAGATTGCAGTGTGAGGGACAATTATTCTGGAGGGCTGTGAGATCTTTGCACAAGGCATTGTACAAACACGACATTGTGACTGTTACTGACATTGTGTTTACTAACAGGCGTACCCAGTCAGCTCCGGCACTGGCAGCAGTGTACGACACCCTAATCCTGGATGACGACTTTGACACCTGCATGCAGGAGGTACTGAAGCAACAGCAGCAGATAGAGGAGGCCAAGGCCGCGTTGCAGCGGGGCCCGGAAGAAGAGGAGACGGAAGATGTCATCGGGGAGGCGGTAAGTCCATGCTTAAACCAAAGGAGATTTCTTTGACACATCGGCTTGGTCACTCTGGAAGTTGTTTCATCATTTATGAAATGTAAACAAATACAGGTGATTCACAATAGTGCGCCACTAAGAGTTTGCAGCGCGTTGGCCAATCACACAGGGTTGACAGAAAAGGTCGACAAATTCCGCGCGTTGTGATTGGCAAACACATTACAAATTCCTGGGGGTATGCCTTTGTGAATCGCCCGTACTGGAGACCAAAGTATCATGGAGGTTCAACAGCATATCCTGTGCAAATGTCAACGGGAACGCAAACCCCATGTGTTGACATACACGCAGACTTGTCCTGTACACACTCTTATTTTTCCTCCTGCAACATATTGCTAAACCTTGTTATTTTGAAGCAGTAGATTGTTTTCCGTGGAATTGCTTGATATCAAAGTGTAGCAAGTAAAACAGATTGCCTATGGTTCCACTGACACTGTAGTCCACATTGTTAAGATTTGGTGTGGTGTCTATTTGTTGCAGCTGGTTACCATGGCGAGAATGACGCCTCAGTCTTCCTCTCCAAACACCAGCACCCAGAAACGTGAGTATAAATGACCTTAGATGAAAAGAGGGGCCCTTTTTTACGCCTCTGCTCCCCAGTAAAGGATTTTTATTCATGAGTAGTATTCTCTTCAAATTGAATAGCAATGACGTTGTTCAAAAGCAGTGGTTGGCAACTGATTGTTTTTCTGAAATACCTTGTCCTTGTTGCCAACTATCTCTGTGTGCACATTTTATCCACCTGAAAATGTCGCCATTTTACTCGAACAGGAGTATTGAAAAGCCATGCTGTGGAACAGAGTCAGTCGTTACTGAGATTTGTTTTTTCCACCCAAGCAAAGTTTGACTGCATGTGGCTTTTTCCTGGGGGGGGAGGGTGTTTGGTTGTTTTGTTATTGTTGACATCAGTTACTGGGTCTCAAATTGTGATTTTCCTGACATTTCTACAGCTTCCTCTCCGACACTGGCTGAGAAAGCCCGGATGGCTGGTATGAAGTATGTCTTGTATCCCAAGAACAGAGGGTAAAGGATTTTGCTTGTGTGCTTTTGTTGTAGTTTTCTTTTGGTATTTAACCCCTTCACGGCGGGATTATTTTGACTGCGACTGCTGGGCTGTGGTATGCCGTGAATGGAGGGCTCTGTCCAGCAGCAGGCCCCATTGAACCAGCAGCTGCGTGGTGAATAGACTGTATGCGTGGTATGCACTAATCCTCACACAGTGGTGCAGTAGTAGCAGTCCTCCGCAGCGAAGGGGTTAATAATGATGCTTGTACTGAACATGAAAAATGTTGGATAAAGGCCTAACATGTCATGTTATCAGCCAGCATTTGTTCTTTTGAGCTCTATGCTACATTATGGTGGTCATTGCTTTCTGAAAGTGCAATGGAAAAATAAACACTCTCCTTTCCCAACTTGGGTTTTGAAAGAAATGGTGGTCATCAGTGTTATGTTATTGCAATTTAGACCAGCAAAAGAATGTTTACTGGAAAGAACGGAATTCAACCTTTTCTCTGTGATATTTTTTAGGAAAAAGAAGAAGCGACCACTTGATCCAGTGAGTAATTCTCACCTTTCCTTTGATACTTGGTCATGAAATGATTGTAAACAAAAAGGAGTTAGTCATCTTTTTTTGTTGAGAATTGGTCGGCTGTCTTAAATTTTGAGATGGGTCTGTTACTGACTGACCAATGATGGCACATAAAAAATAAGTGTAATCTAGGAATTGATCTGAGTGTAGTAGGTGAAATGTAACTGGTTTGGTAGAATGATTACGCTTAATTTTGTGATAGTTCCATCCTGCCAGCTTTTTTGGTACTTTCATTCTTTCTACTGACCAACTGTACCAGCAAACATTTTCAGTACTGATATCTGGCTTCAAATCTAACATCAAAAAGCACCTGTTTCTTTTCTTGCTACCGCTGATTTTCTCACTTGTGTGTTTCTTGACAATGTCAATTTTTTTCCAATGATCAGCGTCGCCTTGATGCAATTGAGGCTTTTCTGAGGCAACCACCACGAAGAATACACAGGTTTGTGTGACCTGACAAATCTTAGAATTGAAAAAGATATGAACAAAAATGAGCAAAGTGTAAAATCTGTAGGATTATACATGTACATACATGTTAACACATGCTACTAGTTTGGGCACCATCATCCCGTTCCAAATGATTTCCTCACTTGAAATTGTCAAGTGAACATTGTGACAAATTTTCACGGTTTAGCTACGTATCTGATTGTTGACATTTTCATCACCTCATTGCTCTCTTAGGTCCGAGAGTCTACCCAAGGTTAAGATGCCTGTTCCCTGGGTCCTACGAGTGCCACCGTAAGTATATCAATGTTTCCCCTGTTGTCGGATGCTTACGGACAGTCACGTGGCATGCTTTTTTACTTCAATCGGGGTAGTTTTGGGGTGCATCTCAAGTTTTGCTGTCAGTTTGTGGAACCCATCTAGAGCGTTGAACTAGATGACATTTTGTACATTGAGATATCTTGCATCTGTGATGCTGGCTGTATTATGTATCACCAGCGACATCTTCAGTGTATTGGTTATTGACAAGGGTGAGGTTTTGTCTTGTCCATGTTTGTAGGAGGGTCCGCTCAAGGAGGAGAGGCAGTCTGCCTGACCTGCTGGACTTTGACGAGTATGTCAGGGAAAACAGAGACAAGTGAGTCAAAAATGTTACTTAGAATTATTTATCAAGATTTTCTTTATAAACATTCATACATTTGAATTGCTTATAATTATTTGAACATTCAGTATACATTGAGGCATGGATCCTGTCTATTCACTAAGCCCAGCTGTGTATGTAGTTTTTGTGGCCTCGGGAATATTTGAAAATGCACAATTCACACAAGCTGCCAAATCAAGGGAAACTTTGGTTGAAGCCGTATTTAAAGTTAATGGATTTTCTTTCTCATGTGAACCTGTAGGGATGACATGGACAATCTCCGGGAGTGGGTACGAGGAATCTGGGATGCTTGGTTTGATGAGGTGTTCCCTCCAACGGAGGCAGATAGTGAGTCCGACTTTGAGGAGGAGGTATCGCCAACAGTCTCTCCAACAAAAAGGTACCTTCTACTCTGAACTTGAGTTTCTTTATTATAAGATGTGCCTTTTTCCTTCATCTGAATTTCCAGTTGTTTGCTTTTCTGTGTATGACAAAGATTCATTGAATAAAGAGAATTGTAAGATGAAAGGATGTAGAATTTATGACAGTCTATGGTATTTTTTTAACTTTAACTTTGCTAAATCCATCACAAACCAAATATGAGAATACATATCTTCAGTAGTAACAATTATTTGAGAAAAGTGTATGTTGTACTCATTGTTGTAGTCGGGTCACCAATGTCGAGTCAGATTCCTGAGTCTCAAGCCTTGAGTTTGAGTCCAAGTCTTGGGTCATGATCCAATGTGACTCAAGTTGAGTCCGAGTCATGAAAAATGTGACTCGAGTCTGTGAGTCTGAGTCCAGGATTCAGGTTATACAACACTGATTGTACTTGAGTACAACATGGTACCGTTAATTATGCTGTGTAGCATTGGGTTTTGGAGGATTCTCAAAGATTAGTAGCAAACTATCAGTGCTATTTTTAATGTAATTCAGGAATATAATTCATGTTGGTGCCTGGTTCCCACTTTTTTGGATGAATGATTTTTTGTGGTAAATGAAATAGCTTGCACAATTGTATGCTGAATAGACTCCTTTTCCATTCGGAAGTGGAGTCAACATTTCTGATTCGCAAGAAAAGCAATGTTTTTACCTGGCCACACCTCTTTCTTTGATTCCTGTAAGGCGGGGATCAGCAGCTAGCAGTGCAGTTTCTGTCGAGATTGACACCACCGAGCCAATCATGGAGACAGAAGAGGACAGAGAGATCGTTGAGGTAGGCCACTGGTTAAGACTTGGACCCATCCTTTTCAGTGCTAAAAAAATCCCTGGTGCTGTAATGGTACTTGTTGTGTACAACGTTTTTGGATGGTTTGATCTGAGGAATTTACACACAGTTGTGGTTTATAATACTATGAGTCCCGAGCTGGACCAAGAGAGGGCGCAATTTTCCTACCAACAGCGGCTCCTTTGGTCGGAACTGCACTTTGCTGGTTCACAAATAGCTGTGAAATGCACGCGTTATGAGCAAATTGAACACTCCCACCAATGTGGCTCTTTTCAACCGATGAGGGGGTGCTTCTGCTCGAGGCGACTACTGCAGAGGACAAGGCATTATGCTCTCCTCTGTAAGCACTTTCCATGTACTGAGCACAGACACCACAGGACTGACATCCAAGGACAGGGAAAACCTTTTGTTCTCTTTGCACTGTCAGTCCTCCGTTGTAAAATGAAACGTGTACAGGGATGCAAGGTAGCTCAAGAGAGCATGTCGAGGATGCTTCACCAAGCTGTGTCCTGTGTAAGATCTGCAGACATAGTCTTAATGTAAAACCACGTCCTTCCTTTACTTTCATCAGTGGCTCCATGATGAGGTATTGCAGCTGACTGCGATCATTGAAAAGTCACCCAAACCCTCGCCCTTTGACCTCTGCCGACGTGGAGCCATGTATCGCAAGGTGTGTCAGAGTTTCAAAGTTTTCTTCCTTGCAAGAGTCCAAGCACTAGATCACAAAATAATTTATGACTTGAGATTCTTTCAGGTTTTTGAGAGATAATTTTAACGAGAAAAGTACTTGAAAAGTACATGTACTTTGCTGAGTACTTTTGTTTGAAAACTTTATGTTTACACAACTATAATTGTTTGAGGTCATCAATTTTATAATTCATGCTTTTTATATTTTACCATCCCATGCCAATATTCTCCAGTTTTATTCACACCTAACCAGTTCAATATTTGGCAGTTAAAAGGGTACTAGAAAGACACTCCACTACAACACTGGCTTGACTCTTTGCAGCTGGGAAAGTTGAAGCAGGCGTGGGAGGACCTGAACCAGGCCATCCTACTGGAGCCTCAGCTCCTGGACGCCTACTGGCACCGCCACCTGCTCTTCCTGCTACGCCATAAGCAGACCAAGGCCCTGGAGGATCTCAACACCATCCTCAAGATCAACAAGGAGCACGTGGGTGCCTACAGATCAAGGTCTGTCTTCCTTCGGCTGGGAATTTGATTCCATGTGTCTTGGTGTTAGGGAGCGCCTGACTTGCTGAAAGTTACGCTGTGTGTTCCCTGGCATTGCTAAACCAGTTTGCAGCAAGTAATTTGGAAACCTGTAAGAATTTTTTCCTTTAGTTACGCATAGGACAATTAAAATATGGCAGTTCTGAAGGCGGTGGCGGATGACATCCATCCACATCCCTACATATGAGTGATTCCTATTGAGTTTGTTCACACAAAGAGGCTGGAACTAGCCTATTGAAGTTGAGCATGTGGAGCCCTCAGGCCAGAGGGCCAGTGTAGCAATATTACTGTGGAACACTGTGTCATAATTGTACAAACACAATAAGAAATGTTGCAGGAATTTTAATCAAACGACACCTGGTAGCATTTGTAAAGTCTGGCTTTGCAAAGGGCCATGGTTGTGGTATCCTGTCATTTTAAAAAGTTCGTATTTTGAACTGAAAATGATATCATCTCTGGAACAAATTCATTGTAAAATAACACAATTCGAAGAAAATCCTCAAAGAATAAGCTCATATTTTAGGAGTAAAGTCTTATATAGTTGGGTCATTCCATGAGGTTGGGGCACAATTTGTGATGATGTCCGTTGTTACACGGGTTCCGTAAAAAGAACAGCTATTTCCCTGCATGTGGATTCCAAATTGACATTGCTCTACATCTTGCAAGGCTGAATACAGAGGGGTGTGTTATTTTTACAGAGTAAATGACCCACTCTACAGGTCATAAAAGGTAAAAGTTACCCATGTAATAAGGACACCGTCACAAAATTGTGCCCCAGCTTCATGGACTGACCCAGTGAGACTTCAACGGACTATCAATGGAAGGAGCTTTCTACATAGAGTGTCTATGTCAAATTGTTGGAGGCCCCTGTTGGAAAAATCTGGCTGTGCTTGACACTATAACTTCAGAGAAATACATTTTTGAAATGTTTCATCAAAAGGGCAACTTTAAATCAAAAATGACAACAAATATGGAGGAACTATGTTTCCTCGATCATCATTTCACATATGGATGAATTGTCAGTTGCATGGATGCAATTGTCTTGCATGTAAATGTTTTTCTTTAAATTGACAACTGCAGGGCAGAGATATTTAGTCAGAGAGGCGACGTAACCATGGCCATCATGAATTACACCCAGACCATCAAACTGGATCCTGAAGACCACGAAGCTTACTACAAACGAGCTGAAATGTATGAAAAGGTATGGCAAATTGAACTCCAAGAGTTTAATAGCCAAATGTCGTGTAGTTGGCCAGTTTTTGAGCTGGCAGTAGCCCAATGCCCTATTTTACCATCATGAACCATAACATTCAGCTGGGGCATGACGCCCTACTTCCAAATAAATCTGGACACAGTCATTCTGTCAACAAATGTGACCCACCACAGAAAATGAGTCTTAAGGCTGCTTTTATCATGATCTGGTCATAGTTTGCATTGCAAAGAACAAACCAGGCTCTCTTCCTTTTTTTTTGATGAAAAAATAGACGTTACGTGGGTGAAAACATCGACGGTTCTCATTGATTTACGTTGTGCAGGATTATTTTAAAGGTCTTCAACTCAAAAGCGGCTCTGCCAACTTGTGACTTATTTTTGCCCTAGAGGATTGCAGGGAAGTGACTAGGCTAATGCCAAGCAAGACAGATGCTATTTTCATGGCTGAAGTTTGAAGAAAATGGCTTGATAATGTTTACTGAAAATGTTACTTGTTTTCCTTGTCTTTGCAGCGAGGCGAGATGCTCTTGGCCCTAGAGGATTACAGGGAAGTGACTAGGCTAATGCCAAGCAAGACGGATGCTATCTTCAAGAGAGGCATCTACCAGTTTAATACCAACAAGTGAGGATCATTGAAAATTTACAAGAAAGAGCATCTTCACATTTGTCATTTTAGGAGTGGTGACAAGTCTTTAAGCAGTCTGCAGTAGAGAATTTGGGAATATTTGAAATGTATATATCTTAGATTGAAGGTTCGTTTGGGAACATGAATGTGGAATTCATGTTAAGTACAGTGTATTTGCAGTGAATGTTTGCCTTTTTAACTTTGGAAAATTTGCAACTTTACAACTCACTCTGACATCACTCATACGCTTACATTATGCTTCATTCACACAAGGCAAATTCACTGGTACCCTGTAGGCAACCAAATACACCCCAAACAATAGGGACACTGAGGTTAAACAAAGTACATATTCTAAATGTGTAGCAGAAATCCCTTTGAGTAATAACATGAAATCAATGCTGTCCCCCTGTGACATTGCCTCTAATCAATACTAGTGTAAGTTTTTTCAGGGTTAAGTTAAAATGCAATTTAATTTACGAACCTCACAAATTTTAAGTCAATTTCTACCTGTCCTCGTTAGGAACTGGATGGCAGCCATCAAGGACTTCACTGAGCTCTTGGCGCAGGAGCCAGCCAATGCCCTGGCTAGGACGTACCGTGGGCGTGCCTATGCCAAGCACGGTCACTTTGTCCTGGCGGTGGAGGACCTGTCGTCAGCAATCCACCTGGACCCACTCAGCAGCGTGGCATTCTTCCACAGAGGCTGTCTGCTCAGAAGGTAAGGAGAAGGGTCATGTAGAGGTTAAAGGTCCTTGGCACTTCCGGAAAAATAAAGGCCATTGTAATTGTGTAGAAGCTAGGAATCAGTCCAAAGTAATGATGAAACCTGATTGCTAAGTGTGAAAATTCCCATTGTTGTAACAAACTCACCCAACTCCTCAACTAACTGAATCTTTCCAAGGCTCATCATTCCATTATTGGTATTTACACTGAGAGATACAGGAGGTCCCTTGAGTTATGGTGTATAACTTGACTGCTGTTACAGGGCAAACCCTAAGCAGGCACTTCAGGATCTGAGCGTCTCTGTTCTCCTGGATGACAGTGAGGAGAACGTCATGGCTTTCTTCCACAGAGCTGTGTTATACATGGACGATGACAGGTACTAAACTTCAGTCTTTATTTCAATTTACTGGTTCAGTAGTGCCATCAGCTATCTCGGAAGACCCATCTCATGGCTCAGGCATTTAATTAGTCTTTCATTAATTTTTCTTTGTTTATGTAAGACTAATTCTAGTATATGTTCAGTATGTGCCTTTTTTACCGCATATTTAATGTATATTTGTTGTTATTTTTCTGTGCATCTGGTGCCTGGATCGCCTTCCATTAGGTGGATACGTACGCTTTACAAATCTTCATTATTATTATTATTACTATTAAATTTACAAGCAATTTTTTGAAAGCTATGTTTAATTGATCCAAGGAGTATCCACAAAACCAAATTTATTGTGAGTTGGAGAGCAGGGATTCCTTGGAGTTTCAGGCCAGGATAGCACAAAACTAGACTCGAATACCACTCTAGTAAAAACAAAAATTAGGTCCAAGTCACACCTTGACTGGAGCTCTAGCTTTAGTGTAGACAGTGTACATTTGCATCTCTCTAGGTCCTGTGACCGGTGCATTCGTTATTATTCTCCCTTGATCAGATACGAGGATGCCATTGCAGATTTTGAGAACGTCCTAAAGCTCGACAAGACCATAGCTGCGGCCCACGTGAACCTGGGTCTCATCTACATGACCAAGGTGGAGAACTATCACAAGTAGGTCACACTTCTCTCCTTTGGACAGATGAGCAAACAGTCAAGCTTTATGGTGTGAGTGTGGAGCAGAGATTCGTTAACTTGTTTTCTTGGTCACTGAAACAGTTTAAGTACATTTAGTCTCTTTCTCTTGGTGACCTTAATCTTTACGTTGTGGTGTTTATGGATCTTTCTGTTTTACAGAGCAATTCAGAAGTTCACTAATGCCATCAAAGTGAACCCCATCTACGTCCGTGCCTTGGTGTGCAGAGGGGAGGCTTACCACAAGATTCATGATGTAATAACCGCAATTTCCTTGAGAAAAGGCTTTCTGAAGAGTTAACAAGAAATCACTTTTATATGTAAATTCTGCCTTTAGCATCAAATATGTGATTGATTTGCCTCTAGGTATATTCAAGTCTCCTTGTCATGAAATTTTTCATGAATCTTTGAAGAGTAATGTAATGCATCATTTCGATCAGTTTCCAATTGCACCAGTTGAGAAACTGTCTTGAACATTTTAATTTCCTCTTCAGTTGAAGAATGCCCTGCTTGATTTCACCAGAGCAATCCACCTTCGACCTGACCAGCAACATTATTACATGTACAGGGTACGTCTTGTCTCACTGATCCCTATAGAGAAACCCCTTTGTGTTACCAAATGCCTTGTTGGATCAAAATGTCAGGCTCTACCAATATTCACAAATTATATTTTTCACGATATTTCAGTCAGTAAGTCATTTGTAGCAACTTTTTCGTTCTCAGCTTTATATGTTTTAAGCACTTCATGCCGGGGTGCCCGGTACTGGAGATGTTGGGTTTATACGCACAGCCAGGCTGCTGGAAATCGGACAAAGCAGCTGGGGTTTATAACAAAAGACCGTACTCGGAACAAAAGACAGGGCTGCTGGGAATTGCCCACATTTTTTCAGTTGTCAATATCGGAAGTAATCTGCCACTGTTTTGAAAGAGTATACCAGTGTTTGTGTCATTCAGTGCAAGTGGATTATGACTGGGGACAAAAGCGCTCCAGCAATGAACAATACAATACCGCTGCATGGTAATCTAGCAGCATTTGAAAAGACACCAGCAGCGCACTGGGTCAGTTTTCACCGCACAGTCTGGGCCCTCTTTATAAGGTGGCAGGCTTGACTGAAGTACTCGGCCGTCAATAGATGTTGTCTGTCTGATTAGAGTATATAGCCACCAGACAGTCATTCGTGTGGGTGTAAACGTCCAGTAAATGAAGTTATGAATTTTTTGAAGAATTTTGAAAAAGGAAAATCTTGAAAATCCCCCGGGAATTCATCACGCAACTTCAAATTAAACCCGGTAAGTGTTTCAGGGAGGAATGATATTTGTACCAACAAATCATATCAATTGATGCTCTTTTTCAGGGTATGTTTCGCATTAGAGTAACCCACAACTATTCCTTGCAATTTCAGGGAGAAATCTTGTTGGAAATGAAGAATCTGGAATTGGCAAGCTTCTGTGTAAAGTAAGAGTTAAACCCTCTCTCCCAACAGTGAAAGGTGCCCCAAGGGCCTCAAAGTTTTGTGTGTATGCGCCCAGTGTGTAGAGTTAAGTGCCCTCATCATAATTGCCGTCATAGCCACTTTGTGGACAGTCATTTGCACATGATTATCTTTCAGTTCAGCATCCTTTCTTTATTATTTGCATGCGATACCCCACAAATTTAAATGCATCTGGGAATGTGACAATTAACACAGTATGCTCAAAAATTCCATTTCAAATCAAGCACATTTAGAAAAATTTAACAACTGACTTGTCCTTGTGCAGAACACAATACCATTTTGGTGCAAGAAACTCAACTTTTCCAATAATGCACTGCAAAAGTGGCCTGTCTATCTCTGTGGTAATGTTTGGATGGTGTACTTATTGTGAATATGTTAAAGTCTCGATATTAGCGACCACTCCTCATTTTGTGACGGTCATTCCGTCAGATACTCTCCCCCCCAAGTTTAAAAGCAACCTCACTCGCAAAGAAGAGACAGGCAGGTGGGAAGTTTTTCAATTGGACTTGTATACGTGCCTGGTGCACTTGTGAGGACCGTACATTCAAACAGAAATTGATCGCACACACTCAGCAGCACGTTCTGCCCCAATTTGCATAAACTTGTGCATGTACTCTGTGTATTGGAGACTCTGAGACGCTTGGTGGCGGCAGACACAACGGTCCTTTTTGGTTGATGTGGGCATGCGTGTGCAGTTTTAGGCATGCGTGTTAGTGAGCATGCGCACAACTATGGAAAAGGACCGGTTTGTCTGCCGCCACCATGCGCCTTAAAGTCTCCCATTCCCACCAAAGGACCATTGTTGCAATGTACAGCTGGTCTTATCTTGTTCCTTGCTAGGAGCATATAGTTTCTAAAACCGTACGGAAGAAAGTTCTATAAACAAATAAAATTCTTGCAGTTTGATTGAATTTTTGTTTGCCTTCATAGACATGCAGCGGCCCTGAGCCATGGCCTGGGGTCCTCTGCCACCCAGCAAGCCGCCGTCCAGTCCTTCCTCCACAACTACACCAAGGCCATCGACGTCCTGTCCACGGCCGCCCGCTCCCACCCCACCGCACCGCTCTTCATCCTGCTGGGCAAGACGCAGATCAAGGCCAAGAAGTACAGGGATGCGGTGGACAGTCTGGAGAAGGCTCTCAACTTCATGGTGAGGTGGCACCTGGGAACTTGGCCGGCCAGCCGGCCGGCCATTGGTCTCTTGGGAACCACTCTAGTGTCATAATCTCACTTGGCTTTAAAGCGTTAAGCTGTCCCAACTTGGTATATTTGTTTGGGTGGGATAGATGCTCACCTTCAGGAATGGTTTGTTACTGTCAAGAATACATAGGGACGAGCATTGGCACATGTAGACCTCAAAAGGCCTTAAATTGAGTGTACAAATTTCCTTAGTAACTAAACTAATTATCTTTACCACCTGCTGTTTGAAATTACATATTTAAAGTATGCACCTGAGGGTCAAACAAGGTATGAACAAGCACTTGGACATCATTAGTTTTTAATACAAGTTTAATCTATCTCTTTATCAAATGATTCCGCTTATATAATATACCATGAGTATACCTGTGAAACGATTTATGTTATACATGCTCCTGGCTGGTTCCAAGTTGATTCTTTAAAAGTACATACATTTTTGCTGAGTAGTCATTTCACTGAAGCAACTGACCCTGCATTGCTGATTAGGTGGGGTATTTTGTTTGTCCTGGTTCACATTGGACCGAAACCCTGAAAGTTGCTTAGCACTGAGAAATGGCCTACCGGCCCAAATGCATGTCATATATATTGTTTCTGGGGGGTTCTGAGTTTGCTCTTTGCTTATTTAGTGCGTAGTAATTTTTCCGAGTAGTCATTTCTCTGAAGCAGCTCCAGGAAATTGGGCCATAGATTGCTGATTAAGCAGTGCATGTCTTCTTGTGCATCATCGGACAGAAACCCTGGCAGGAACGTCAGACTTGGCCCATGGAAGCAGCCGAGGTCAACTACCTGATCGGCATGTGCCAGACCGAGATCCCCAACTACCTTAAGGCATTTGAGGCCTTCAACAATGCCATCAAGATCAACGGCGATTACCCTGAGGTGAGATGCACAGATGTATAGTTTCTGTCTGGCTTGTCCTTATTAATTTGATTAATGATAGGATGTCATTGGAATGCTTTAGCCAACAACAGTGCACAAAGGACATGGGCCAATGTCAACATTGTTTGACTCTGTTGCATAGCAGTCATACACAGCTCTAAATCATTGTATCTTGTCCAACCTTCCTCAACCAAGTCTCAGAACTCTCGTCTTTCTTCTCACGACATGGGACTTCTTCAGCTCCTCTACTCGCACCGACCTCACTCCCCAAATATATACCATTTTTCAAGTCACAGCAACCAGTATTAAAAGCTATGCATAATAACCAGTGTTGGTTTGGAAGACCTTTGGGGAGAAATGCTTGACACACCATTATTCTGCAATCTCTCCTGTTAGCAGATTAGAATGAACATATTGAATTTTCTTGCAAAGACATAGACTTTGAAATGGCCAAATTTTTGTATCTTTATGACCTCCATTGCAGGTCAACTTCATTTAATCTTAATAGTCATCTCTATTGTTTTGATTAAATTTTCAAAGGAAATGGGGCTAGAGTCATACTCATGAACTCATGCGTGTTATATGTATTGATGACTTTGATAACATAACAGCCTTACAGTTGATGTCTGTGCAGTGAGCCAGTTCAGTATTTCAAAAAGGCAAGACCAAAG